GTGAAGATAAGGTTTTTAAGTAAGAGGCATTGCGTAACGTATGCTTGGCGATCAGTTAAGAGACCAGAATGACGCCAGCGCCGTTCAAGTTTGCGTCGTCGAGTCTTTTCGGTTGCAATTTCTTCACTGTACCAGGGAGCCGCAGGACGTTGAATAACAGTCTTAGTCTGCAGAGGGGCGTGCTTATTAAGAATGGATGATAACACAGAATCATACTGATCAGACAGTTCAGCAAGTACGGTTTTTGGCGACGAGTATAAAGCTGAATTGACAATATCATGTTGGAAATCATCAGTGTTAATGGACCGAAACTTTCGGTAATTTATTCGTTTCTTTATGTTTGGCGGTTTATCTACATGCAAGTTGCAATGTAGGGCTAGGTGATCGGAAATAACAGGGTCGTGGACAGAGAAATTCGTGGCAGTCAATTCATCCTCCCGAGTAATAATGAGATCAAGAGTATTGTTATCCTTATGAGTTGGAACTTTGATGTGCTGGGTTAAATTAAATGTGTTGAGGAGATCAAGGAAATTAAGAGCATCACCATCGTTGACATTATTAACAGCGAAATTGAAGTCTCCAACGATTAGCAATTTCCCTGGAGAAGAGACCATCGGTTCCAGAAATGAAGAAAATTCCGTAAAAAATAGGGAAGAAGTTAGACCATTAATGGAGGATGGTGGAGGACGATAAACAACCACTATACGCGTAGTTAGTGAGCTCGTATGAAGCAACACTTCCATTAACTCGAATGACCGAAATGTTAACATTTGTTATGTTGTCACAACTGGTTCTACTTTGGTTTGCTTCGCTAAGAAGCAAAGACATGAGAGCGCTGAAGAGCCGACGAGGGAGTAGACTTTGTCTTGCGCTGCAGCATTTCTTGCCCAGGAACGGGAGCTTAAGCAACAACGACGGCAACGGCTACGAAAACGTCACGTAAAAAGTGAAGTTACGCTGCTTCAAACTTTATCGCGCTTATTCTATCTCATTTAATTCGCCAAATGTTGGCAATTTTTTCTGGAGATGAATTCTAAAAGACTGTATCGAAGTTCAGGAAAAGAAGAAAGTCGTTGCATTGTTTTCACGTCCTCCACAAAATGTGAAGTTAGGCATTTTCACGTCGTAGTCGTGCAGTGACGGCAACGAAATGTACAAAAAAGCGTGATGCACGTGCAGAGTTGTCGTTTTGCCGTTCTCGGTGACGTCGCTGTCGTCATTGCTTAAGCTCCCTTTTGAATGGAAGGGTACAACTCCGATACAAACTTTGTAACTGTTGCGAGGAAGGTGGAACCAAGGAACCTCTACGTAGTGGTACTTATCAATTCCACAACAGTCTCGAGGAAGTGACTGTTAGAGAACCCGACATGTACGCTTGAAATGGTCGTTAGCCACTGCCTTGTACAATGAATGGTAGAGCACCTGTACATATACTCTGGGGGTGGACATTAGGCACTGTGTTGTGTAATGACAGATTATCTGTACATACACGCGTTACTCATAGATGGACGTTTGCCATTGCATTGCTTCAGCATTGTTTTCTTGGCATCAGAGCTGAAAGTAAAACAGAATAAAACAAATTCTATGATGACCCTTTGTGAGCGCGGTTGTTTTGATTCAAAGGTTTACCTAAGTAAGTCTCACGCGTAAATTAATGACGATACCACAAGTCAGATAAATAGGAAAATGTTCTTTTCAAAACCGCAATTTTATTCTCAATTACACGAACGCTTAGTCACCGGAGCATGAATCCCGGACCGAGCAAAATGCATAACAGTATAAACGTATGTTGAAAACCGTTTCAGACATTGCAACTATGAAGTATGAACTGTTACAAGAAATATCAAGGACCACTGTCAAGCCACGCTCGAGGGCAGCTAATTCAAAAACTACCCTCGGTAACAAAACAACGTAAATCCTCCAAGGAGCTAAGCACGACATTTCTCGTCTTTTTAAAAAGCTAAACATGTCTTCGCACCAAATGAATTCCAATTTAAGACCATATTTAGGCACTGAAACCTGTCCTGTCGTCTGTTGCTACAGCTGGCAAGGTTGGAAATGGATTGCAAATTGCAACAATTTGGCCATTTTATGCCAGCAAAAAATCATCCCAAAATTATCACCGTTCTTGTTCCCTGATGACATTTAATCTCTACAGGAGCATTCTGTGTATGGGTCAACAAGACATGAATCAACCAAAATAATATTGTTCTTAGGTTTTAGTCAGCAAATAAAAAAACAAGACATTCATCGAACTAAAATAAAAAACAACCTACCAAACCGGTTATGCCCCCTAAAAACAGCACAAGACCTTATATTAATTAGATAAAGACGTCCTCAACGTCTATTTATATCACTTCACATTAGTGAGAGATCACTTCAGAAAAAAGGTTAATTTCATCCCTACTACACTACTGATGGGAATAAAATATGTAATCAATGCACATCTTTTTCTTCATCTCACTACATCTATCATGCGCGATATTGTTACAATAACAAGGAATGTTTTAAAAACAGCGAAGAAAACATCTGTGTACATCTAGGAAACAGGGCTGCCGCAGGGACATTCATAATATTTAAACACAAGTATATTATTGGATATGTAAAAATCGAAAGTGGGAAATTGTAATTAAGAGGAAATGTGGTACGTGGTGATACGGCAGACCCTAATACCGTTCTGAGCCAGTGTATAATGTTTCCACTAGCACGACACCACACCCCTATGGATGTCCAAACAAACCTGCTCTCAACTATAAGGAAGCTTTTTGCATTTTTCTCGTAATACATACACGAGCACAGCCACTACTTTGAATCTGTAGTGCAGTCTGTCCTCATCGACAACTTCATAAGATGGATGCCTTCATTTAATGACTGTGTATGACGGACACTGTTAATGCTGGTCCCAGCTTTAAAAAGAATTGGGGAGACTTCAACAATCCACCAGGCAACCAATCAACTTTTTTTTTCACATAACATCCCTATTTCCTCTCCCCGACAAATTGGCCAATTCCTAGTTCCAAAAACCCTCATTGGCAAAATGAGACCAAGTGCGCAACCTTCCATGTGAAAAAGAGTTTTATTTGCATGAGAATGAAAATCATTTCCATATCAAAGGCTGAGCACTTAACCTGGTTTTGATAGAGGCCTGGGGGAACTCGGAAAACGCCCATTCATAGTACAGTGGAGCGTCCATTCAGAAGACACACTCGGGACCAGGACGGCCAGGTGTCCCCTGAAAAGAGATGTCGCTTCAATAAACACACTCAGGACCAGGCCAAGTGTCCCCTGAATAGCGGTGTCCCTTCAACAGAGGTAACTGATACAAATATAATACAGTGGATCCTCCATAATAATAATAAGTCAGGGGATAACCTCAGGGCCAGGCCAAGTGTCCCCTGAATAGCGGTGTCCATTCAACAGAGGTAACTGATACAAACATAATACAGTGGATCATCCATCGGGGGATAACCTCAGGACCAGACCAAGTGTCCCCTGAATAGAGGAGTCCATTCAACAGAGGTAACTGATACAAACATAATACAGTGGATCCTCCATGTAAGGGACAACCTAAGGACCAGGACAGATGTCCCCTGAATAGAGGTGTCCATTCAATAGATGAAATTGATAAAAAGATTATATGAACTTGCTTTTGGGGGAGCAGGGGGAACAATGTGTGACTTGAATAATGGTGTCCCCTGAAGAAAGGTATCCCAAAAGAGAGGTTTAATTGTAAAATGACAACGAAACAGAAGGTTTTGCCTGAAAATGCAAATCTGCCTCTTCTCTTGCTCAGTTGGTTAAAGCACTGCCCCAGTACCGCAGGGTCATGGGTTCTCCTTCATGGGTTCCCCCTCATGGAATCCCCTTCAAGTCTATTTTTCCCAGTCTTTCTGAGGCCCCGGGTAAACTCGGAAATTTTTGAAATCTCATATTTTTAACCTGGAGAACGGTTTCAAAAAGATGCAGTTTCGGTGGGAGGAATCACTGGTTTCGTATGGACGGAATGCCAATTCGAGTAAAAAATATGAGGTTTAAAAAATATCCGGATTCGTCTGGATCAGGCCCGAGTCTGCATGTTGCGTACATAACTGAAATGATCTTTCACGTGTTTTAAATCCTATATACGTAACCTCTACTTAGTCTAGTATAACTGTTATTACTATAGGGTGTTTTCACATGACGTCACTTCGGCCATATTGGTGTCCCAACACAATGGAACGGCGGCCATGTTGGTGTCCCAAACCAATCCTCTGGGAGCTGAGTTTCTTTCTTATGCAAACGCTTTCTTTTGTTCCAATAAATTTGTATAGATGCTGGTCACGTGCGTGAAAACACTCTCCTTCCCTACAGCTACTTCGAAAAAGGTTGTCGAAAAAATGTGTACGCGCCAATCCCGAAAGGTAATATGGGATGTAATCAATACACTGTTCGTAACGACCGTAGCTGTCGAAGCTACTTCTGTTGCTTTCCTTTAGCACTCGCAAACATATGTCCGTGGCCTCCAGTGCAGTTTACTCAAAACCACCCACTAAACCTTTCGGGATTGTCGCGTGTACTTTTTCAGACAACCTTTCTCGAAATAGCCGTATGTGGAAAATGTAACAACTTTACTGTGGGTTTGTACGTAAGTTAGTGAGTAAAACCGTGATTCTGAAGGCCAAATGCAAAGTACTGTAAAACTTAGTACGAAAACAGGAAGAGCTTATGTTTCTAGTCTCACGTGTTATTTTTTTTACTGCTCTCAAGCAACTTTACAAAGAAACTACTTTTACAGAAGCGATCAATTCTCTTTTCCTTGCCCTTGAATCAATTAACAGAGCCTTGCTGTTGCTACAACTGTTAGCTCTAATACTTTTACAACAGTCACATTTTAACAAACAAAACTAATCTAACTTAAGTAAACGTCTCAATCAAATAGGGATCTATAACGGGAGTCCTTTATCCGGTTTAAGAAGTATAAAAAATCAATCACTGAAAATAACCCAATGTGCAGTCCAGGTTATTTTGCAAGAGAAGAAACGGACATAACTGTAAACGTCTTTGATGTTAGCAAGGAACTGATAGCTGATTATACTCTTACATTTTTAAACATAAGTTAATCAAAAGTAAAAGGTTTGAATGTATGAACAAAATTGAGTTCCTATACATAATAAATTACAAAGGGAAACAACTTACATTTAGCCTCATCTCAGCCCCTCTCTCGAGTGAATTTGGTCACGTGACTTCAGCTAATACAAGTGGAAAAAATCCCAGTACAAGGATAACCGAAGAAGAAGTATAAGAGTGGCTATTAAAGTCCAGAGTAATTCCCCGACTCTTGATAGGAAACGCGGTCTCGAACTTTCCGCGGGGCACCAAGACACTGTCAGATGAATTGACTGAAGCCTCGTGACAAATTCCACGACTTGAGAAGGGCGCCGATAACTCATGAACAACAGCAGTTTCTCTGAGAACTTTTTGTATTGATGACGTTGAACGCGTGACGAAGCCTTAAGAACGTCTGCCTGGGAGGCTACGTACTTGTAAGTTTACCACTTATTCATGTCATTTGAATTTTACCATTCAAAGATCTGTGTTCTCAAAATACAGAAGATTACACTTCCAAAGAAACTTTCGTATAAACTCTGCGCTGAAAACATTTTGTACACTTAAATACATCTCCACCATCGGAGACCGAGAAACAGGTGGAAGAATTCAAGACTTCGGCAAAAGTCGGCACGACAAAGTTTTCGTTTGAATTCTCTCGCCCCGACGCCGCTCAGGACGGGTCTACGAGGATGACGTAAATATAAGTAAATACAAGGAAAGTAAGAAACAAAACGTAAATACAATATACATTTTCAGGGCCAAACAAAATGAAATAACGACACGTTCTACTAAAGTGGGCCAGTCTAGAGAGGTAAGACTTTCAAAAGACACAATTATCGCCCAAAGCCAATTTTAGCAGATTTGAGAATTTTATCCCATCATTTGTTGGAGAAGAAGCTGGAAATAATACTGACAACAGCCGAGGTGATTATATGGAAGTGAGTGTTAACATGGGCTTCCCTTCGAAAATGTCTTAATCCCTCAATAAACTAGACTTGACACGTCACTATTCTTATCTACTAAGAGGATAATACACCAAACGTCCGGATGAATGGTTTGGTTACGATTGCAACTACAATCATGGACAAAAGTCTTGGGACAATTTTGCATTTCTGGGGCGTTTTCCAATTCACACAGGTCCAACCTCTCCTCACAAACAATGTTGGACGCGTGTATGCAGAATTTTTCTTCGAGTTTCAACTTTGTACTGGGTGGGGGGAGGGAGAACTGCGAGAAATTTTCGAAACGGATGCGCCGTTTTAAGAGGGAAACGAGAAATGACAGAGAAATATAAATATTGCAGTACTGTCCCAATCCCAATCCTGGACTTTTGTCCAAGACTGTAGGCCTTTCAAGATATGCCAGTCAGAAGAAATGACAAGTAAACTCGATCAGATAATAATAGTGACATATCGAGTGTAGCATACTTTATCACAGAGGGTAATATTAAGTTTACAGCTAAAAAAGGTTCTTGTCATTTTTAGTTAAGTATGCGAGGAAATTTCTGCGCACCAGAGGCACCTTCTTCAGTAGGCCTCTTAGCCGTAGCTACTTTTGTGTCCTTTATCACAGACTGTAAGAGCTGGGACTTTAAGCGAATATACAGCTCTATGTGCTTCATCCCTTTGACGTGCAAGTTCTTGGCTGTTAGTGTATTGAAACGACAATTACACAGTTTGCAATAGAAACTGGACATCCCAGTACCGTGTACTCGCACAATAAACTCGGTGCCGATGGCATCTTTGGGTTGGGAAGACAAAATTTCTCTTTCGGTTTCACGATAACGATCCGATTCAGATTGGGCTTTGGCTTCTTCCTCCTGCCTGGGATTTTGTCCTGTTGTCTCAGCTGTTTGCGAAGATGAAGCTGGAGTACTACCGAGTCCTGGCGTCTCCAATTTGCTTCCGGGTTGATTCTTCATTTGAGCAAGACGTTCACTGACTAACTTTGTTCCTTTGCTTTCTGCCTGGTTGCCCTTCTTAAGAATGGACTTGAGCGGTTTGGCCTCTTTTTTGTTGTCCCCGACGTTAGGCGGGACTACAGACACATTTTCGGAATTGTCTTTTATTGCCGAAGTCTCTTGGATCTGATCATGCTCCGTTTGTAAATGTGGTTCAAAACTCTGCTCAACACTATTTGGCTCTTCAGGTTGTTGGTAACCCTCGACGTAATACTGGCTCTGCTCATACACGTCACTAACGTCATAACCCTCCTGAGGCAGAGTCTCAGCCCCTTCAACTTGATACTCCTGTCCTTCATATTCAATGCCTTGAGTGTACTCAGGGCCCCACTCTGACTGTTCAGCAGGGTATCCTTCCTGGTACTCTTCCCACTGCCCTTCCACTTCACCCTGACCCCAGCCTTCTCCAGACTGGTAGGCAGCACCATCTTCACCATACTGCTGCCACTCTGCTCCTTCTTCAGCATATTGTTGACCCTCTTCAACATACTGGTAACCTTCTTCAGTATACTGATAACCGTACTCATCATAAGTAACAGCCTCACCCTGCACTGCCTCCGCCTCTTGATGCTCTCCACCCTCAACATACTCCCCTTCGTATTGCTCATAAGCTTCGCCTTCAACAGGATAATACAAGCCGTCCTCAGCAAGATAATACTCTCCTTCATACTCGGCACCTGCAGTTTCACCTTCCACAGTACCTCCCTCCACATATTCACCCTCATACCACTCTTGATAGTTCTCTCCTTCTTGGACGACACCAGCACCAGCCACCTCACCCTCCTGAGGATAGGTGTAATACTCCTGCTCATATCCTTCACCCTCTCCTCCCCCTTCATAATAGTATTCACCTTCTTCACCATGACCTGGTTCCCACTCTTGCCCCAGATCCTCGTCGCCCTGGTACGAACGACCATAGTCCTGTTCACCCTGAAACTCCCCAGCAAACCCGGCTGTTTCATAATCAACATTGGCTTCATTTCCGGTATACGATATCTCAGAGTAATGCGCATCACTATTATCGTCATCGAACACTTTCTCTTGAGAAGGAGGAGGAGCACCGCTGCTTTTTCGTGGACGGCTAACATTTGGCAACAAAGGTGGCTCTTTGGAAACAGGAATGGTGATTAAATTAGCCCTACTTTGAGAACTTTTTGAGGTCTCTCCTTCGGTTGACGTTCGGCTGACTGGACGAGTTGAACTTTTACTTCGTTTAGCGTAATGCACAGTTATCATATTGGCATCAACAGCTCCAGAAGAGAATTCTACGATTCTTTGATCGTAGGGCTGTAAATACTTGGACTTTTCATCATTACTAGAGGGGAAGTCATCTTGTCCAGAAATGCTACTGTAAACTGACTCATCTCCTGAATCAGCGCTATCTCTGTCATACTTCTTTTTCTTGGACTTTTTCTTTGCCTTCTTCGACTTCACTTTTTCTTTGTCCTTCTTCTTTTGCTTGCTAGGAGGGGACTTGGAAGGCTTCTTCTTAACATCGACAGTCCTTTCAACTTCTACTTCCATATTTTTATTCTGTTTTGTATCAGTCGACCATTTAGGCTGATCAATTTCAATATTTTTGCTCTTTTTGGCGTCAATCAACCATTTAGGTTGATCGATTGTTATTTTCAGCGAGCCTGCTTTCATCTTTGAGCTAGACTCATCAAGGACTTTGTCACCTTTTCTCTTCTTTTCACTGACGATCTTCACTTCTCTTGCAGGGGATTCTTTCTCTTTCTTTATGAAAAGAGGAGACTCCTTGCGCTTATCACTTTTTAAAATCACTTCTCTGGAATTGTCAGTCTTTCTTTTTACGTCTTTCCTGTCATCGAATGATCGTTCGGGTTTCTCCTCTTTATCTAACACACTTTCCTTCTGGTCCTTTAATTTTCCACCTTTAGTTTGTTTGAAGCCTGCTTTTGGGTCACTCTTTGTCATTTTAACATCCGATTTTCCTTTTAGGGCATCTTTTGACGTCTTCTGATCTGAATTATTGCCTGGTGGCTTCTTATCGACGAGGGCCTTGTCTAATGGTTTCTTTTCTGGTGGTTTCTTATCTGATAATCTTGTCTCTGATGGCCTCTTTTCGTTCGTCGTGTTGCTCGATTGCTTACTATCAAATGGCTTTTCTGATAGTTTTGAAACAGAGTGATCTTTGACCTTCTTCTGCTCTAGCTGCTTTTCCATATGTTTTATATCGTCTTTTAACTTATCCAAAGACTTCTCAGACTTTTTGTCCACATCATACCTCCTGCCACTCTTCCCTCTATGGTGACCATGTCTCTTTTTGTCTTGATCTCCATTAAGACTGTCAACGCTTATGCTGCGCCAGCTATGACAAGTACTACAACTACCACTGCTGCAAGTACTGCAATAGCTACTGCTTCGACTTCGGCTTCGGCTTCTGCTACCTCTTCTTCTGCTTCTACTTCCCCTTGGACTGCCAGAGGACCTGGAGGATCTTTTGTGCTTTCCTTCTCTGGGACTGCGTGATTTACTTCTCCGAAAGATATTTCTCACTGTTGCCCCAACAGGAGGTTGCGCTACGCCTCTGCCTCTTCCACGTGCCGCCAAACCTCTTCCTCTAGAAGCACCTCTTCCTCTATTGCTCGGACCTTTACCTCTAACACCTCTTCCTCTGCCTCTCTGAGCAATCCCTGCACCTGCCCTTCCAACACCAGGCTTCTGTTGGAATCCTCCTCTGCCACGGTTTCCACGGTTATTGGTCAAGACGTTTCCTCTTCCTCGGGTGCCACTCAAAAGTTGAGGGGCTTTTAAACTAGCGTTTTCCTTTCCTTCTATTTTCTTGTTCTTATCTCCCGGGTTTGACCAATTCTGCGTTGTGAATTTTCCTTTGCCGGGGGGTTTCACCTGTCTCTTTGCGCCAGTGTTAGCTCCAAAGTCGCTACTCTCAAAAACTCTCTCAGAACTCCTGCTGCGCGATCTTGATTTCGTCTCCGTGTGTCTTGGAAAGTAGCCGCTCTTCTTTGGTAACAATGGTGGCGACTGATTTCCTTTATTTAATGGCGTTTTCTGAGTACTTTTACCTTGTGGCACTTTGACTTGTCTCGGCATAAACCCTAATGGAAACAAGGGTTTTGGCCCAGGTTTGGTGGTTGAAGGGGCAGACAATTTTGAGCTAGTGCCTCCAGAAGTTTTGTTTAATGAGCCACTTTTCGCGGGCTTAAGCAATGGTGCTAAACTGCCTCTTTGCCCACTGTTAACGTTCTTATCATCTTTACTATATGAATCTCTCTTTTGTGTTTTAAAGCTTGACGGTTTGTCTTCCTTATGGTCTTTTCTGTCACGGTTCAGCAAAAAGTCATCGTCGCCGTAGGTTTTGCCATAGCTTTTAGCTCGTCCTTCAAGCAACAAGTCAGAAGATTCATTCCAAACGCTGTCTGCAGTAGTTCCTCCCGCAGCTGTCTGGTCTTGCCAACCTAATATAATAAAGCCTGGTTAACACTTAAGCATCAACACAAAAATACAATTTTATTTTTTTTTTGTTCGTATACTTGTCTTCGAAGTTGAGGCTGAGGTTTCAAAGAATTCTGGTCAATTCACCTACATGACAATTGGTCTTTGGTCTGCTAGTGAACTACTGGAAGGCTTAAACCTTCAGAGCGGCATGTTCTCAGAATGAGGAGTACACAACAAAGCGGGATATTGGAAAGGCAAGTTGACAAATAGGCAAGTTGCCCGGTCACCTATAAAAAAATTTGGACGATTAACCGAGTTACTGTGCCCTACCTGACTGGTTAACCCTTGATAATACCTAGATAGAGGCATTCCTAGAAAAAAGCTCCCATTTTGAAGAAACAACTATTGATAAAGACTTGTTTATTAGGGGAAAAAGAGGATTATGTAAGTAAGGGCTAAGTTACATGCATGCGTCACATTACTTAAGCACAACGTGTTTACCACGTCCTTCTTAAAAGGTATGGGGCTCCACACAATCCAATGCTGGTGACGGCTGTGGTTTAATGAATAGTGCACTAACGATAAAACAACCTGCTGTATCTTAGAGGTCTCATGTGGTCGGCAATAAGGATAATGGAAAAAGAAGTTACTGCTATTAAGTTAAATCCAATGGTTCATGAAGTGAAACGACCCTAGAGAAGAGACTTTTAACATCCAGAACACTGTACTGGATGCCACAGTAACGTTTCACTACGATACTGCAGACTTGAAATCTGGTTTTTGTTTAAATAATTGTCCGACCCTCTAGATATTCATTACTGTTGCTATAGCCTTAAGACTAATTTAATTCAAAGTATTTACCTGTAAATACGAATGTACCTGTTTTGTTTCTTTGTTGACCTCGGTCAAATCCAAAAAATGGTCTTCCAAGCTCAAAACCAGTTTTGAACTTCTCGCCTGCCAATTCTGCTAGCTCTGTCACTGAGAGGTCTCTAAGAATTTCACTGCCCAAGCTTCCATAGTTAGGTGATTCTCTGTTTTGATACAAAATGCGATCCAAATCTGCCTCATTACTAAATTCGCGGTCATCATTTTTAAATCTAGAGTCCATGTTCTCCAAATCATTGCCCCTAAGAAACAAAGAAATCATTGTTAACATGAAAAAGTGCTTTCCAGACAATTGTGTTTCACAAAGCGGGGTGCAAAATGCACTTTAAGGAATAAAAAAGCTTACTACTCATGGTCAAGCAACTGCACATTTCACCTGCCAGAAGGCTTAGGTGGTAATGCATGGAAAAGGTTTTACATATCAAAACTCTCGCCACATAAGTCTTGATAAGGAAGCAATTAAGATTTTACCGCAGTCAAAGTTGGTCATTAATTCTATACTCATCCCTGTTAGAGTACTTATGAACTGGTCCATACCTTAGCCCATAATCTAATCTTCCTCTTCTATCTTGCTTACTAGATCTGTACCTGCTACTTGTATAATCTCTGTCCTTTGAGCTGTCTCTGTAAGTTTTCTTGTCTTCTTTCAGCCAGTCCTTCTCTCGATAATCTTCTCTAAAACCAGCATCAAAGTAGTCCTTGCTACCAGGCAGTGACTCCAAAGAAAAAGAGCCAAGAGTTCCTTGGCTTGACATGGTGAAAATGTCAGTAGAAGAGGACACCCCAAGGCTTTCTTTGTTCCTTTTGCCATCAACTTTACTGACAAAGTCCTTGCTGTTATATCGTGTTCTGTCCTTACTGACATCTTCATCTTCCCATTTACTCTTTTGGTACTGTTTTAGTACATTTCGTAAATCATCATCACTATCACGGCGGTTGCCAGAAGTTGTACTGCGACTACGCTTTGTTGGGGTGTCCTCTCTACTCTTTCTGTAGGAAGAGGATGACCTGTCATCTGCAGGGCTGTAACTCCTTTTTCTTGAGCGACTGTCATCATGCTTTCTTAGCTGCTGGTCTCTACTGTCCCTATAGTCATTCCTATTGGATTTTGAGCTGCGGTAGTCACGTGCATCTTCTGAAAACTCATCTAAAATTGGACCTCTGACTTTATCTCTTGAATAACTGTCTCTGTTATCTCGCCCAGACAATAACAAACTTTCTTGAGAAAGGACAGATCTTGATATTTCTTCTTGTAGATCCTTCAAAACAGCCTCTCGTTGCAATTGTTCTAAAGTGCTGTAATTTGATTCATTTCCCTGAAAAAAAGTTTCAGAAGAATTAAAATCTCTTGAAAAATAGTTGCTTCTTTAACGGTTCACCAAAACAATGAACAGAACAAAAAAGCTTCTAGTTTAGTGGGAAGCAAAGTGCACTTCCCTTGTTTGTCAAAGTTGTTTCTTGATGTTTTGAGAAAAGAAGAGCTCAAGTATTTTATGTGCATTACCAATTCTGGTCCCCACAAAATCTAACCTTTTCTACCCCACCAGGGTGTCTGCTTAAGTTTTAAAGTAGCTCTCAGCCAAATGTTATAGACAACTTTCAGAAGGTTTCTTTCATGGAAGTAATTATGTGTAAGCATGTATGCACCCTTGGGGAGAGAAATTAGGGCAGACAAATTCACTATATAAAAACTGGAGTTACTGGCAAACAAAGTGTAAGGTCTCTCACAAGATGTTTACACCTGTCCTGTCATCCTGTTGAACGAAGTACAGCACTATTTTCCACATTTAACAAATGCAGGTTCCTAAGCGGTATTGAGCCACTAGTATATCTTTTGGAATTCCAGACTAAGATTACGCTCACCACTGAATTAAGTAGTCATTAAGGAATTAAAAAAAAAACGAACATGCTTGCCTACTGACATTACTAACACTGGAATTTGAAAATGCAAGAAAATTATACCTCAAAGCATGAGAAGTAAACAATAAAATAACCTATAACAGTTGCTCATATAATGGAAATATAGAGGTCAACTGATCAACCAATTTCCCAAATTGTTCATAAACATGTGCTTTGTACACAGTCTGTGTCCTTATCCTGCCATTATAATCTGAACAATATATTTTAAAAGTCCTGAAAGAAGAAGAGAAGTTCAAAGTCAGCAAAGAAACAAAAGGACACAAGTTAAAAAGACACTGACTTTCAACAGTTAAAGGTGATGCCAATAAACCCATTAATCCATAGTTGCCAGATATTATAATAATCGTAAAATTTAATAATCATACATAAGTGATACTGATTATTGGAGTGGGGTAAACAATACATAACAAGGACCACAGTGGCAGTACTTCAGCCAAGATATCACAATTTGTGAGTGTGACCACAGACCTGCCAACTCTCAGGATTTTGCCGAGAGTCACACAACTTTCTACATTTAGTACTTGTGATTTCATGATCAAAACTCTAAGTCTCATCCCTACAGTGACTGCTCTTCTGGTTACCATTCTATTATATAGCTAGCTATGTTGTAAGGTAAACTTGCACTCTCAGACCCAATGAAAGGTAACAAAAGTAGTATCCAATTTATTCTTCAAGCATCTCCACATTTTAAGGTCAAATTCCAGATTTTTCTTTTTCAGGATTGGCAGGTCTGTAATCTGCAACTCATCTGTTACCTTAAAAGAAGAAAAAACTGCCCATGTAACAAAATAAAGAATATATACTGTGACCTTAAGAGCCAAAACAACTGCTAAAACTGTAAAGAACATCACAGTTTCACTGCAGTGCAGAACTTTTGGAACTTACATTACATGACCTCTTACATAAGGTCCAGAGAAGGTAGCCCAAACTACAAATTACAAAGTCTGGTGGATTGAATTGGATTGGTTTAAATAACACCCAGGGATAAACTGATAACCCAACCTAACCATAAAAGCTGAGAAGAGGAAATTTGACCATCCTAACTTTGTAGGGAGCCTAACATGCCCAGGGGGAGAGGGGGGGGGACTCCCATGTAAAAGTGATGGGGATACTTGCCATCTCGCTTTGGGGATAAATTGCAGATTGCAACCTGCCCCCCCCCCCTCCCCCCGGCTAACATGTAGTCTGAAAATGGCCGAATTGAGAGAACTCTAAATATCAAGTAATTTAAAAGGTCAGTGACAACCTAATCAAATTGATAGACCTTGATGATAAGTCACTAACATGGAGGAATTGCTCTTTGAAACTGATTCTTCATGTTTTACTCTCTAGATGGTTGCTGAAGGATGCTTATACATTGTTAGCTTATGCTTATAGCACAGCCCCAAAGGGCAGCATAGCACAGCTCATCTTGCAGCATTAAATTTAAACCGAAGCCAATCCAACACACCATCCTTAATGAAAAGTGGTACATCACAAGCTAGCGCCCCTTTCTGTTTGAATTGCACCCATTAGCGTGTGTGCACCTTTCCTGCATGCACTTCAGGTTCACTTCAGGTTTACTTCCAGTTTTTCTACTCACACATAAGAGTTTTATAGATGTTTTTGAAATGCATTATCTGTTTATTGACACACAATAAATGTATTATGAATGTAACTCTAAATGCAATGGTATGTCTGCTTTAATTCATTTCTCAGAAACATTATTTTGGTCTTGTAGTTCTGAAACGTTTTTTGACTCATACGCCCCTGCCAATATAAGCCCCTCCGTTTATAAGCACCCAAAAGCCTTCTGAAGTTACCTAAGTTCAGGGCTTTAACATGGGATTTTACGGTATTTTGCTACTACTGCATGCCCCAACTAAAAGCCCAAACCTAAACATCTCAAGAATGAAAAATCAAATGATTACCACAGAAAGTTAAAAAAGTTTAATGGATGTCATTTCTGACAATGAAAGGTAAGCAATCCAACAACATACCCTTTAAACATCTGGTGACTTGAATGGCTGCGCAAAAATATATAGATCCTGACTTTCCATAGTGCAGATCAAAATATATTCTGTTACTATATTAAAACTTGCTTGTTTCCCAATGGGCAGCATAGCACAGCTCATCTTGTACAGCGAATCTTTCTCTTTCAGGAGGATGTTAATTGGATGAACGATTTTTCAGGACCCCGTCATCTCCATTTTACAAAGGACAGTCTTGAAAAACAGCTGTGTTTGTCAAAACTACCAGACATCTGTAGATAGGCTTAGATGAACCTACTGCACCAAAAAATGTATAGGTTTTTGCCAAGGCCTCCTCAGTAGTTTCTGATAAAATTGCTTCAGTTCATTAGCATCAAAATAAACTTCTCAGGTTTCCATCTGCCAGTGGTAAAGAACTTTTAGGTAGAAACTTGTTGGATCAATGAGTGGTTAGAAAAAGCTTTGACAAGACAATTATTAACATATGACTTTAGTACTTCAAATTGACAAATGGATGGTCAAAAGCTTAAAGCAAAAAATCTTTATAGGAATAGGAATAGCCAACAGACCTGTTAAAGTTGGTACTTCCTTTTGTTGACTAGCTGTAATATCCTTTGGTTTATTTTCCTTATAAAGGAGAACTGGATTGGATGTTTGGTAATAAACACTTGTAGCCTACTGTAAGAAGCTTAAGTATATGGGTGCGATATTTTATTGGAAAGGGAGGTGAATACTTCTTACTAAACCAGATCTTTAAAAAAACAATTTGATCATGACAACTTTAACTGATGAGTAAATTACATGAACATTAAAAACAACTGTTTGTTACATTACACTTGAAAGTTAGCTATGGCAAATGGGCTACCCACCTAGTGGATGCGGGAAGGGGAAGATAGCCCAGCCTTTCACAGAACCAACATTGAAGATAGCAGACAAATAAAGGGTACCATTAGTTTGATTAGTTACTTTAGGGCAGTCTCTCACAATGAAGACAAGCCCTAACAGGAGAACAATGTGCTCAACTTGTAAACAAAACTTCCTCAAATTGAATTGTTGGGGACAGCATCCAAATTCAAACGATATGTTGCACCAAGAATTCTGCCTCATAGTTATGCAGAATGTTGGAAAGAATATTTAGGGCATGACGCCCATGCAAATGGTCTCATTCATTCTTGCCTTTGTACATTGCCCTTGACATACATTGTAAGCATTACATAAGTTACCCGTTAGTCCTCTCATAACTGCCTCTCAGACAATTTTTTTAAATAAAGCCAATAATTTTAGTGTGTGCTTAACAAAAAGGTGTAACAAAGATTTTTTTGGCCTTTGTTAAAATTAGTGCTAAACTATGGAAGTTTAAACTGCTCAGCACAAACTTTTAGCTTATGACTGAGTTACACAGTTTATCTTCAGTAAAATATATTGGACAGTACTGGCAGATACATGTATCTGTAAAAACACCTTATGTTATTAGCCAGGTACCATATTTATTGTATTTCTATTAGGAACAGTACTTACAGAGGGCCATCAATACTTACAGGGGCCATACTAGTGATGGTTTAACTGATTATTACTAAAGGTTTCTAATAGAAAGTAGAAGGCATGTTGCAAATCATTCATATGCTTGATCCTGCAATATTTATGACTAATTTCACAATGAGCATGAATCTTTCTTTGTCCATGATTGTCTCTATATGAAACTTTGGGGAAAAAACACGGCAGATAATAAGGGGAGAACCCTTTTAAGTCAACGATTCACCATTAACAATCTTGACCTGTCCTTCTACTATTATTCTATACACAATAAAATTTGTTACTGATTTGTCAACTTGTTTGTTCTCACTTTTACATGTTTGTATCTAAGCAATGCAAATGTTACTTTTTCCCCCAGAATGTGCAATCTGGCACAGATAATAAATAGCCCAGTACTGTGTAGCTTACCAGACAGCATGCAGCAATAATTACTCCTGCTGGTGAAAATGTTACTGTCTGGTACATCCTACTTACAGCAGGGTTGTCAAAAGTAACCGACTGCCAGCAAAAATTGCCGCCTACTTGGTTAGTATCGGCTGGCTACTCTGCTTGGCATTCCTTTACGGATGGCATTTTGTAAATAAAATAGCCTTGGACTGGCTGCTAACAACTCAGCTGTCTACTTCAAAACTTTCTGACACCCCTAACTTACAGGGTACAACTTGCTCTGGAGTAAGCTGAAAATTTTACTTTCTTTGGAACCTGTAATGGTGTACACAATGAAGAGGATGATAAAACATTTAATGTTTTAGCAATGTCCATGTATAGTAGGCACAAATCAGGTATTTTTGACTTACAGTGTAATAAGGAGAAACAAAAGGCAATGTTGGCAGTGCAAAACCATAGATATCACTTGTAACAAAGTCCCTGTTACAATTATCCTGAAAGATTAGTATTGATATTGTTAACCTTCAAATACCAATGGGGTACCCTAACCAGGTTATGCTATACAGCAACTTGGTCGCCCCTAGAAATGCACTTTGCCCTTGGGTGACAATTCACAGAAAGCTCAAGAGGTGAGCACCTTGGATGTCACAGGTCAGAGGTCTGGGACTCCCACCAGACTTACTTAAATACAGCATGGCTTGCAATTTAGTATGACATGTGTATCAGGGTGAGTTTGTTGACGAGTACAAAATGACAGGCTATTTATGGCAAGGGTATCAGTAAAATGAGCACAACAGAGAAAACGAAACCGTAAAAGCCAGTGACTTCCGACTTAAATTCCAGCAGGAAATAAGAGGATAAAGAGAGGGGTGGGTATTAGACAAAACACAGGGTCCAAACAAAATTACTGTTATATATTGTGCTCTTCGGATTGCAAGTTATTTGATCTCTCTTTAAAAATAAACATTGCTTTAAGGAAGTGTGTTTTCAAAACAACTTCCTTCACTGGCAAGTAATCAAAAAAACACCTTGCTCTTTGGACAAGCCAATTTTCTTATATTTCTTCACTCGCTATTAGACAGTTAACTTTGGCAAGGTGTGTAAAATGTTATACTCAAAGGTAGAAATTCATCCAATAACAAACAGATTTATAAATTTCTCAGTTTCTCGTTTGTAATTTTGATAATATATATTTATATGTTCTTTTAGAACCACTAAGATTTTGACCTATTTATCCAAATGACTTTACAGTCATATATTGGTTAATATATTCATGGCTATTTTTTTGGTGATGCATACCCATATTTTGATCTGTGTATAGTGTGAGAACTTAAATTAGCTGTTACCTCTATGGCTTAAGACCAAGTAAATACAGTAATGATCAGTATGCTTATAAACCTCAAATTAGCTGTTATCTTCATGACTTATAGGCCATGTTTCACAATACCATGGAGACTTGACAGTTCAGAAGAATACAGAGAACAAAGAGGTACAGTTTTTAGTGTTTTCTTTCCTTTTGCTTTTTTCTTTTTTAACTTTTCATGCTGTGGTATTGTGCTACAAAAAACGGCAGTGAGATGAAAATTAAGAGGTAAGCTCTTTTGTCGCATGCAGCAAAGTTTCAGGAAGTCAGAGCAAAGACAAAATATTTTACGCTGACTTCATATTTTGTGCAAGCGAATGAATAAATATCTTTATAGTTGGCATTTATATAAGACGGCGTTTCCGGCTGGTTGTTCACTTTCCTACAAAGACTCACCACATTCTTGTCATCCTTCCAAAATGGTTTCTTGTCTCGGTCGCCATCTCCTCGACCTCGTTGATCTCGGCTCTCCGTCCGAGGTTTAGAGGAACTTGACGGACCGTACGAGTCTCTTGGTCTTCGTGTGACAATGTAGTCGATAGTTTTCTTGCGGTTCATAGCCCTATTTCTTTAAAAATGTTGAATAACGAAGAAGTTCGGTGTTATTTTTTAGTGCTTAATCAAATAAAGCTACCATCGAAATAGTATACATCACTAAAAACAGACTATGGCTGACTTCTCACCTGGGGCCAAAAGCTCGTTCTATAAACTCTTAATTTTCTATATCGCGTCAGTGTCGAACTAATGCGTTTGAAGGGTACCAAATCACAACATAACGGTATGAAAAGCGAAATAAAATCAACAATATTCAACCCTTCCTTTAGAGGGCCGACCACACGCCATTTGCACACTTTCCTACCCACAATCACTTGGGACAAGTTAGCACGGCAAAAAAAATATCCCGAGTCAGGGAGGGACGGGATGGTGACCGCGGAAAGAGAGTCTCGACTTACGTAATGTATTTGGTATGGCTTGTGTAAATACACTTCTGACGGGTAAATGTGTGGAAAAGTTCGCCGTGTGATCTATAGAAAACGTAGATCAAGAAGTCAGTAGCCTTGTAGCTCTTTAGAACTTCTATCAGGAGCCTCTATTCAGCTCTAATTTAACTGGATCTCTATACGGGTCCCAGCACTTTTGTCATGTTTTGTTTTCGTGCTGGGTTCTATTGTTAACTGTTTTCCCAACCAATCCCGTGGGATCTTCCGAGTGCTGCAAGGTCGCGGTGGTAAGAAAATCTAGAAAAGGGTATCCATATTGGACAAGCTTCCAAGAATGGGGTATTATATTTCTAAAAATCATGTAAGAAATCTGATTAGCCCTTTTTTTGGTTAATCAGGGCGTGGCACATTTCCACCCAAAACCCTACCCAGCTATTCTCCCCTCACCTCTCAGTGCCGGATCCAGACTTTGAGATAAGGCGGGGGGTGGGGGACGGTCATCCAGACCCTTAGATAAGGGACGAAGAAGGCGGCGGGGGGGCAGTCTCCCAAAAAATTGTTTTCGGCTCTTCGGGCCTCGGGTTGGTGCTAACCAAAAATAAAGGTTAGCCTGGGCCCCCCAGGCCCCTCCCTTGGATCTGCCACTGCCTCTGGTGGCAGGGTCAGCAACAACGCTTTTGTGACTTATAAAACTTGAAGGACTCAGCCTGTGACTCAGAGATCCTGACCCGTCCTCTCAGCTGACAATGTAACGAAGGGATAAATGTCATTAAATAATTTGTGACTGGCATTCCATATATAAATTAGTGGGTATTTTTAACTTTGCATAAGCCGATTTTTTGTGTCAAAACAATGTGTCATTAGGAAATGTTTGACCAAGGGCAGGAAATTGTTGTTTGAACTGTTTATTATTTTCTTTACTTCTTTATTTGTTTGCTTGTTCGTGGCAGAGGATTCCACCGGGGGTTACTCCCCTGTAAAAGTGATGGGTGCGCTCATCAAAAAATTTCGAGAACACCCTTTAAAAGTACCAGAATCTTGTTTTATGGGCGTGTCCCAAATTCATTCCACCTCTAAGAGTTACCAATTCAACAACAATAAATTATATAACTGCACTACAAATATTAATAGTAATAAAGATAACTATCGAACACTTTCTTCTCAAGAACTTTTAGAAAGAATTATCATAAATCTTACCAACGCAACCAGTGATAGCAGTCATTTGGCGTTTTAGCTCCTTAAGCGGTACCAATCCACAAACCTAAACCCTTAATAGGTACAACGAGCACCCTCGCCACTTTTACGGGAGAGTACCACCCCGGGAGAGCATTGTTGGGAGAGAGTAACAAGAAACTTAAGTGCCACAAATTTAACTGCTTGTTCTTGAAATAACATATGTGAACATTTAATCAGCCAATTTAATGAAAAGCTACAATATTTACAAAGCTGATGCCAAATAAAGTATATATATCCAACCACACAATAATGCTTGAGAATACCAAAATATTGATTTGCAGAACAATACTTACAGTGCACATAAATCTACTTAAAATAGTCAGGCAACCACGTGCAGTGACATTTACTGCAGTTGCCAGTGGCTACCAAAAAATGGCACTAACTTTTAAGACCATCTTGTTATGATAATGAAAAGTTTTGCTAAATCTATCTAAATTTAGCTCGCAAAATTGTTCAAAAATTCTACTAAAAATTAATAATGCAAAAGAGCTTTTCTCTTTAACTATTTACACTTTGAACACCTTATACCAAACATCCACATCACAAATAAGGCTTGTTTGGTTCATCTGCAACTGTGAAAGAGAACGTCTTTATGTGGAAACAGGTCCACACTCAGACGACTGTTTAAACCAGTCAGCATAATTGGAAAGCTAGGTTCAAGAGACCAGAGAAGCCTTTTTATAGACTGTGACTTGAATGCATTCAGGATTTCTGTGCTACTTTTATCATTTCCAAATGATCAGAAGCTTGAAAAAATTTCTCAAAGAAGATTTCCAGCTGCAGGCACCAGATGTTAAGTTGATCAGGCTGCTCAACTTGACTTGGATCTGCTGGAACACCAAGACTTGGGCTCTGAACTTCAACTAAAGACAACATATTTGGATTTTGTCAAGTTGCAAGACTATGGTGGAACCTCATCTTATACATTTGTATTATTTTACTGTGATTTTCAATAAAATAAGAACTCAGAGAACGAAAAAGTAACCCACGGTCATTATTCTCTGCTTCCTTCATAATTATGACATTAGGAAACAAACAAAATGGTTACAGATCTATCAATCACAACCTACAGTCATGACCTTTTGAACCCACTAAGAGGTTTCCAGACAGGTCCATTAGGGCGATTGACAGGAACAAAAAACATAAAATACTGGTTATATTAACATTTTTTACCTAGTAATAAGGGCACCATTTTCATACAGGTATATTCATAGGAACAAGGTGGTCACCTTAACAGCCTGAGGTAACATCACATTAGGATGCTACACTGATTAATCGCTTTCCTCGGGCTTATAACTCATAATATCAACAGGCATTAGAATGATCCTATAAACTAGGGACTACAGAAAGCCACCTTTGCTGCCTCCAAGAGTGTAGTTGTATTTCTGGGGTTGGCAGCAAGATAAAGAAATGACTGAACTTTGTCTGAACAAGAAAAGAAAAAATGACTCATGATAACAGGGTGGTCATATAAAATATTGCAGAGTTCCTGGACAGAAAAAGGGGGAATTATAATGGATAGGAGCAGTTGTTATGTCACATTGCCATGGTAACAAAATTTCTGGATCTCAACAAACCATGGTCCTGAAAATATGATAGAAAAAACAAAACAATTGACATGCATGACTTTCGATCCTCCGCACGATTGCACTCAGGAACAAAGGGGTAGCCCATACTTTTCTTTCGTCATTCAACAATGCAAATGGCTGTCTCTGCCAAGATAGTTTGTTGAGATACAGAAATTTTGCAACCATGGTAACATGATGCCACATTTCTCCTCTCTACATGGGAAAAAATATTACAAAAAATAGGTTTCAAAAATCACAGATGGACAAGAACATTTCAGAGCATAAAATAAACAAACCAGGAAGATTATCAGTTTCTCCTTCTCCGAATCCTGCAGGTCCACCAGACTGCTGTACGACATTGGCACTGGAGTGCACTGACTGAATTTTCTTACTGCCCTCTTGTGAATTAGGTAGAAGCTCAGTACTTTTTGCTGTGAGAAACATTTGAGAAACGTTGTGATCAATACTACAGGTGAATCAATAACCTCGATCTTCACAATGGGCAATTCCAGAAAATATCCATACCCAACCACGGACGGCTTCCATGTTTTATCCCCCCCCTTGCCTTCGGAAATTCCAAAATGCGTTACCCCCCCATGCCCTCAGAATTCCATAATCGTGAACCCCCCCTCCCCTTCAGAATTTCCGTTTTTTTGGAAGTACATTTTCAACTTAGCAACGCCTATATGAACCTCCTCAAGGCTGTGATCTAGCGGCGCCAGGCGACAAGCTTTCAGACTCTAACCTACCGCTAGTAGACAGGCTGTGCAAACTCCTTTTTAGGTCCGAATTTGGCAATAAAAATAAACACCACTAACGGCAATTTTACTCCTCTTTGTTTTCTTGTGCTGTTTTGACTTTTACAAAGCAAAATAGCTCAAATTCAGACCGTTAAAATCTTTCGGTGGTCAAATATACCGTCGAAGTGTGTTGCGTCCTTTTATACGTCATGTAGTGTGCACGAAAAGTGTTCTAATCTGACAGGCGTTCCTTGGAAGCCAGGGACTGGTGCGAGTTTTTTTACTGTTCATCGGACGGGAGTATCAAGAAACTTGCAAGCAGTAAGATACATATTCCGTTTTTTTTTCATGTGACAAGACATTCATCAAGGTTAATGTGAAACCCACGTTTTACTGTTCACTTCTATAAGTTATGAGCGTAAACACGTGTCTGATCTATCGATGCTTGTCTTCTGCTTCCGGTCATACGTTCGTGGTTTATTTACGAACTACAAAAGTCCACAACAATAGCGTTTTCAAGGAACTCACTTACACTTTCTTTCCCACCAAATTTTGCCTTGATTTCCAATCGTAAATACCCCCATGGGGAGGAAATCCTAAAAAATGGATATTTTCTGGAATCGCCCAATGGCCATTAAGAGGTGGCTGTTGTAGACAAGTTTTAACAAGAGTCAATGAACAGAAAAATGTTCATAGGTGGCCATTAGTGGAGGTTTAACTGTAATGTTTTAGGGCTTGGAGTGCTTACCTTTCAAATTTTCTGAAACAAGAGTGGGGAGGCAAAAAAATTGGAAGGGGAGACATTGTTTGAAGCAGGCGGTTATTTAGTTTTTCAAATTTCAACCTCAAAGTAACATTGCCTTTATTTCCAATAAATACAGACTGTCATTAATAGTAAGCTATAGAAATCTGTAAACAGAAACACAAATCTGTGTGTGGTTGCTCTTAATGTCTTGTTCCTCTAGGTTCCTCTAAGTTCTGGGCCCAGTAGTTCAAAAAAGATGGATAGCACTATCCATTGGATAAACCTCTATCCAGTGGATAGTGCAATTACGGTTTTCCTAACACTTATCTGCTGGATAGTGATTTATCCACTAGATAGCGCTATCCAGTGTTTGAACAACCAGGGCCTGGTTTTGAAATCATTGTATTCCATTTGCAAAATACTTAATGGCTCTGTAGACTGGCATTTGCCCAACCTATCATTACATTTTAATGCACTATGTATAAATCAATGAACACTGTATGATTTTGTTGTCAAGTGATTTCACTGTTTTGTTTTCATTTTCTCTATGCCAACTATTTGTTACGTGTTTGCATTTGTCTGCATGTATTTAGCGCTTTAGAATATGAATATAGTTTTAGCACTTGTAAAAAAATATCTTTATCTTTACTTCTATACTGAAAATTCCATAAATTTCTTCTTTCTTGGAGGAAGGTTGGGCAGGGTATTATTTGGATGGGGTGCTTAATCTTGCATTCTTAAACTTTAGTGGGGCACTAATTCAAAGGGGTGGCGTTTTTTTTTTCCGAAGGAGGGCATTAAATTAAATTTAGCATTGCATTAACTTATAAACACCTACCAGAAGTGGTATGTGCAGGAGGGGCAGCTTCCCTGCTTTTTGTCGGTGATTCAGGACCAGACTTGGGTTCTGACACTCCAGACATGACCCTTGACACCCTTTCAGGTGACTCCCTCTCGGCAGGGGTCTCAGCAGCTGAGTTCACTGCCTGGTATTGATCTATTTTGACAATAAAGGACATAGTGAGGCTAAGTCAGATGAGCAATAAAGGTTTATAGGCAACCCACATGGGCAACCCTTTTAATTGCAGAGTGGACAAAATCCTGTGGTGCGACCATACAAAAAAACCCTTTTTGTAAGTACTTTCACATGGCATTGTTTGTTTTTCAACATGTCACAAAATGAAATTTGAAGTCTTATCACATTTTGACCTTTGCTGTAAGTAGCAAATCACACTGCCGGAATGGGAGTGCAGCCATGCACTCTTCAGTGGTTACATTGTGGTCACAGTATTTGTCAAAATGATAAGTCAAATTTTAGATTATTTTAAATTTTCTATTTTTTCAAGTGAAGAAAACTTATGAGCAGCAGTTCACAGGAGGCAAATCTGGAAGGCATAAGCACACTGTACATTTTGTTAGGCTTTATTGAAACATGGTGCATGTTATTTTCGATTAAGATTTCTGTACCTTCATCTGGGCTTTCTAATCCTGGCTTTGAAGTAGCTGGAGTAAAACTTGCCGCACTCTGTGATCTTGAAGAAGGTGCTGGGGTTCCTTTTGGTGACAGATGTCCTTTGATAACTGAATCTGTTACATACACTGTAGCACAATCAATAACAGCTTCAAAAAACTCCAAAAATGTCATCTCAAGCTCCAGATTACAGAAATCATCTTGTGCTAGTTCTGGGTTATCCTTTGCCAGGGTCGTTAGTACCTCCTTGGGGCTCAACTCTGTGTTTATAAGTCGAAAATCATTGAGCATAAACATAAACTGCCTGGATTTGAATATTGGCTCATGTGGGTAACGTATGTTAGGTACACAATGCTCACAGAAAATATCCCAGCTTTTGGACATATACTTAACAGCTTCAACAGCTCTTGAGGAATCAGCAAACAGGGTGCCTCCAACTTTGCAAGCATTTTTAAGAACATTTTCAGTTATGAGCCGTGACACACACCACGGTAGGAGACGCTCACTGCCTTGGTGGTCCTCTTGATACAGGTGGTAGGCAATGATGACTATTGCATTCAAAAACTCTCGCATAAGCACCTCATGTTGAGGTTCGTGGACGTCATTTCCTTTCTCAGGGGCAATGGTACGGTCTAACTCTGATATGGTGAATCCATGGTGATGAACTTTGCAGTCCTTTAGGAAGCGCCAAAACTGAAGCCGACTCATTACAAATGTGTTGTCAACAGAATCCTGCTGGCCAAGACAAGAGTAGTAACTGTAGATCTTCTTCAGCTTACTGATATGTCTCAGCATGACGTAGGTGACGCGCTGAAGTTCCTCATCTCGTTCATACAAATCAAGATCCCTCTCATCCAGAAGCAGGTCAATACTCAAGTTGAGTGGATTTCCAGAGGTTTCTGAGCCAATAAAAGGTGATGCTGATCGTGCCAGCGGAGTGCCAGGTCGAACAGGAAGCCCTGAACTTGTGATGTCTGGTGTCATCATTCCCGATGGATTAATATCAGGGAAGTCCAGCATGTGATCCAACTCAAAAGTACCTGCAATTTGTAAAATAAATCAGACAAGAGAGTACTCCTGGGGGCCATACCTGAATGGGCAAATATGGTGACTTTCATCCCAATCACCCTAAGTGAGACCAAAATCTGCAAATTTACACCTAATAAGCAAGACAACGAACATCCCTGTCACTTTTATATGGGAGTCCCAGCGGGGAGAGTACTGTACCACTGGACAAAACCCCACCTATCCCTCTTCTACATGTAGCTCAATATTTTTAAGTTGAGAAACTTTAACTTTGACCCATGAGCTCTCACACATCATCTGTATTATTTTATTTATGCACTGACGCAAGGTTACATTTACCTGCAGTACACATTTGAAAACTATTCAACAGCAAAAGTCCACCTTAAGCATGGAATTTTTGCTAATATTGTTCATTATTCTACATTTAACTTGGCCCAGGAAAACCAGAGAATGGCTTTTATTTATTTAAGTGCAGCTGTAAAAGAGGTAATATTATGTGATGTGCAGTGGAGATGGTAGAACGTTAAAGATGTATTTTTACATGCTTAACAGTGAGGAGAAGTGTGATGTTAGTAGCAAAATTTCTGGTTCTTAACAGGGATGGCCATTTGCATTGTCAAACGATGAAAGAAAATTACTGGCTCCCATTTTGTTCCTGATTGCAATCACTGACGGGAAGGTCCTATATGGTAATTTTTTTCTGCCATATTTGCAGGATCATGGTTTTTAGAGAAGCAGAAATTTGACTACCATGGCAAGGTCACATAATAACTTCTCCTCTCCATTGCACCATGTTATACACACCTTCAAATACCAAGCCGTTCTTGAATACATATTTTCCATGACCATGTTTCATGTTGTTCATCCATTCTCCTACATACTTAGCACCAGTAGCGTAGTAGAATGTCCCATGGCCATGTCGCATGCCATTAACCCACTCCCCCACATAGTAGTTACGCAGTGGGTATTGGGATCCCGGGATGCGCTTCAAATACCAGGAATGCTCTCCATGGCCGTGTTGAATGCCATTTTCCCACTGTCCTTCGTATCTCTCGTTCTTATTGTACCAGTGCATGGTTCCCATACCATGCCTTACATTGTCTCTCCAGTCTCCTTTGTATATATTCCCTGAGGCATACCTCCTCATTCCAAACCCGTGTCTATTGTTATCCATCCAATGGCCGTCATAGTATGACAACCCTTCTTTATCATAACGCAAAATCCCTTCTCCCGAGCGCTTGCCATATTTCCATTCTCCAGTATACGAAGAAGGAATTTTTCCACAATTATAGGTGCCCTGACCATGCCTAAGGCCACCCATCACCTCACCCTCGTATGTGCTTTCATCTGGCCAGGTGTATGTACCCCTGCCTTCTATGACGTTGCTTTTGAACTCGCCCTCATATTTTATACCATTAGACCAAATATATTGCCCTGTCCCATCCATCAGTCCATTAACAAACGAGCCAGAGTAAACATGGTTTCCTTTGAAGTAAGCCGTTCCGATGCCATGAAAGAAACCGCGCTCGTCTTTCTCTCCAAGGTACGATTCAACGATCAAATCGACAAGGTAAGGTTCATTTCTCATGGCATCGTATGGTTCCTTCTCTTTGTTGTCATCTCCTTCAGGCTCTTTCTCTGTCGACTTGCCATCTTGTTCTTTATCGATAGTGCCATCCTCAAGCTCTGTTTCTTTAGTCTCCGGCTGAATTTCAGCCGATTGCTCAGGCATTCTGTATCAGCTTTCCCAAGAAGATAAGTTTAGTACTTTTGTTGCTTCGAGACAACACTCAAACCCCTATATCCCGGATGAATTTACCGTTGTTATGACAACAAGAGGTGATAGAATTTGAACGCGGGCTCAGTTCATGCGGCATATGCAAATTGGAAAATGGCGATCGCGTCTCGTCGTAAAACACATATTGCACTTCCGTTTGTGTAGCAGCGATCATGGGCCGCAGATCCAAGTGTTGTAAATTCTCTTGGTTCGTGAATGATGGTGTTGGTATTGGTTGTGCAATTTTCACGTATTTGCTCATAGGTTATGCCGAATTTGTCGTTGTTTTTGTCATGCTCTTACCCGAAGTTGTCCGAGCAGCTGCTTTTGGCGTGTTCCACGCCACCGCTTTTACGTTTTTTGCGTGTCTGGCTCTTGTTGCTCATAGTAGAGCGATGTGCAGTGATCCTGTAAGTGCTTTTTCTTTCGATAGAAACCTGTTAAAAGGAAGTCGCAAGATCATATTACTTGCTGGGCTCGTAAGAGCTCCGACATTTAACTGTGTGCAGATGCAGTCTACCAGCTGCGAATTAATTGTAATGTATTGACATGAGTATGTTTGCGTTCAAAAGTTATGTTCTGATATTTGCTGTTTTTAATTAAAGGGTCTCATGATTTTGAAGCTTCAAAGTTTTAGTTGCTGCCCGAAGATCTCTAAGTGGAAAGAATACAAAACAGACAAACAAACTGAAATTAGAAATTTTGTCGATGTCATCCTATATATTGTATTTCAGTTCGTGTATATGATTGTCATATTTTTCAAATGTAGCATACTTTTAGTGATACATTTTGTTTAGAGCATTTTTTTTTTCTTTTGAAAATATATTTTACTATTATTTAACTCTGTTTTCTTTAGTATCTGGCAGACTTACCAACCGAAAGTTTAATCAGGGTGGATTAAAAAACCATATTAAAAAGACAAAGCTTAGCTAACAATCTTTATTTGGATATTCTTATGCATTTTTCTGTTTTTATTTATTCTTTTAGGGAAGTATCCCTTTAGGAAATTGTACCACTGAAAATTTAAAGAAACTGCAGCTAAAGGAAGGAGAAGTTGTGCTTAGATGTACTAGATGTGAGTGTATAAAGCTTGATCGTGCACATCATTGCAGGTACTGTACTAATGTTATCACTTATGAACCTCTCATCGGTCATACCCCAGGGAGATCTCCAGGCAAATACAACTTTTTATGGGGACTTATAGGCAGGGTTCTCAATAGAAGGCGGCACCCGGCGATTGATCGCCGCTTACTTTGGGATTTATAGCCGCTTACTTTGTGTTTAGGTCGCTCTTCTTTGCTTTGTTTTGACACCTCTGGCTTTGCTGAAGAGCCTCCTACTTTATCAGTGATCACCTCCTACTTAAAAATCTATTGAGAACCCTGTATAGGGGGATTTGGTTTACAGTACAGCATTGCACTGCTCGAAAAACCAGGGACTTTGTGTTGCAATTAGGTTGATTTCAACTTGTATTAAATCAAGGAGATATAGAACACTTATCCAGAAGATCATGGGCTTACATCTCTCCTCCTGGTGGAAATAATGGCAGATTTAGCAGACTGTGTAGAGTCTCAGTTATTGTTATGTAAATTGGCTTAAGGGTAAATTACCATTTTCTAATTTGGTAAGCTGGTTCATCATGAATTACAGCATCTCAAGGTTACTGTCATTTCATGTTGTTCAATTTGATACCCCTATGGAAGGTTGAATATAAAGTTTAGCTTGCAATATCAGAAACTTGCAAAAACAGATGGTAAGGGCACCTGAGCTTAGGATATGGTCATGTGATACTAGTCAGCAGATGCCCTATTGTAGCAGGTGTCATTCTATTTTGATATGGATGGCATATACAACAATGTAACACTCACAGAAACGTGTTAGCATTAAATTCTCACTTTAATGTTACTGGTGATATGTTGTTTTAGCGTGGAATGTCAAACTGGCTTACAAGGCCAGCAAGGACAGTTGGCCTGTTTGACAGTCAGTCATACACTGTATGTATAGTCAGATAACCAACCAAAATTTTTCTCATCAAAAGATTACAATATCTTTTTTTTTGCCTTGTGGAGAGAGTAGGTCTATATATATGTTTGTGTATATGTTGTAGTTAAATTTTTTATCTCAGGTAATTTCTGTTTTTCTTTTGTTTTGGGGTATGGTAATGTATCCTAATGAAGTTGAAACAAAAGAAAAATTAAAATTACCTGAGATAAAAAATTAACTACAACAATTATATTTATTGCCATGGGGGCTCTAGTATTGCACTTCACTGCAAACTTTGCTACCAGTACTGCCAAATTTATTCTGATCTGATAATAGAGTAGTGATGTTGATATACAAATTATGTATAGGTGCAGAGGTACAATAATATGATTATGTAGGTTTTACTCACTTCTGCTCTTTTTATCTTTGCTCGTAGCACTTGTGAGAGATGCATTAGGTAAGCCTTTCGTTATTTTTTTCTGATATACATTATAAAGATCCTCCATTTTAACATCTTATATTCTGCATTAATAGTATTTTTTCTAGCTCTGTAGTGCCTCTCTGGGTTTGACCTAATTCCCAGTGGTTCTTTTCAACACTTTTAGGATCAACATTCCCCTTTGATCTTTGTTCTTTAATCCCAATTCTCTTTCTGAAGCACATAATTCTTTTATCAAGTTACATGTGGGTTCACAAATATCTGTTGCCAGAAACTCCTGCTGGGATGACTAGCAAACCAGATCAGTTTACAGACCATTTTAGCTTTACAGTTGTGTGCCTAGTACCGTAGCCTTTGAGTGAATTTAAGGCTGAGTTGACCTTGCTTGGTTTGATACAAACCTTGCCACTTTTCTTATGGATATTATATATGAACAGCATGGGCATTGGGAGGTCACCATGCTTTACATAAGAAAGCAGGAAGGGTTGTATCAAACCTGCCCACCCTTGCTTCCACTAATAACATACTTCGCCGTATGCAGCAAATGCTTACTGCAAACTTGCATTCAGCCGGGAAAGGTGTACAGTGTTCTGAAAACTATCCCATGGTTTTAAGAAGACTTTAAGTCTTGGTAGTTAATTCTGGTTTTGTTTCCACTCTCTACTTTGGCAGAAAAATGGATCATCACTGTCCATGGTAAGGCATACAAATGTTTTTGTATTTATTACACTTAAATTATTACATCATTCTGTATTATTATCTGCCAAATTTATAACAACAACAACACTATATGATCATTAGAGAACGTTTTTTAGCAAAGTATTTTCTAAAAAAAACTTTTAAAGAGAGAAAAAAACTGAAGGAATACTTTCCAGTTCAGTTCAATTTTCATCCAACCTCTTGTCCTTCTATTAATGAACTATCTCTATTTCTGTATAATCTTGAATTAATTACTGCTCCCTCTTTGCTTTTTTTATAGGATTAATAATTGTGTTGGTGAAGATAATCAAAAATTTTTTGTTTTATTCACGGTGAGTAATTAATGATTGTATCTTTTGTTATTCAGGTTGAGTGAGCCCTTAATCTTTTTGGGTAATTTTGTTTGTAAGTTCATGTAACATTTTATTGATTTTGTCAACACTATCCAGAAAAAAACACACACACTCAAAAGTAGAAACAGGGGCCTTTATGAGGACTTCAAAGCCAGTTTATTGATAAAGTATTGTAAGATAATAAGTGCATGCTTGATTGCAAAACCCACCAACACATAAAACAAGCCTTGTAAAAAAATTAAGTATGACACTGCAAAAAGCACCAGCAGGAAAAAAGAGAATTTATACCCCTGCCAGCTGAAATCAGCTGTGGTGCTGACAACTTGGTGGTAGAGGTACGACGAAACTAAGCAACTGCCAAATGCCTACAAACACATAATATTGTAACAAAATTAACAAAAGCAAAACATATTTGGAGCTTGAGTGAATACTGACCTAGAATGAATAACAGTACAGATCCTAGATGGCTACCCATTATTTCTTTTCAGTGGACCCAGTCCTCTGGTCTGTGTGGGTAAAAAAATAGTGTACACATATGGCCCTGTCAGAAATACCATTTTTGTCAAGTAAAGAGTGTTGTGGATCTTTGTTTTTGCAGCTCTACATTTTTACAATATCAGTGTATGCTCTAGCTTTAACAATCAGACAGCTGTTCATTTGTACAGAGAAAGAATGGCAAGGTGAGAAAGATTTCCACCATACTAACATCATAAAAGTCTGTGTAACCATTTAAATATTTCTGTAGCCTGCCACTATAATCATTAAAGTGCAATAACAACATAGCATCAAGCACTCTAACATCTGACCATCAACCCAGTATTTTTAGAATTAAATGCATGCACACAATCCAAGGCTAGCCCTTTCAATCACAAATAAAATTATTGCTAAAGGTGATTTGCCAATGACAACTTTTGACTGAACAACCACCAGAATCCCAAAGGGTTTTCCTTTATTTTGTAAGTCAGGGCTTTTGTTGTTTAAACCTTGCCAGGATTACCAAATTTAAGTAAAAAATGAAAGGAAAAAAATGGATTCTGGTAATAGTGGCGAAAATGACGCCTCCATACAAATAGCCTATTCAGGCAGAATGACCCAATGGATCTATATCTCTTTCTTTCTCCATTATTTTCTGTTGCTTCTACTCACTTTTAACCCCTGCCATGTTGTCATTATCCACCTCTTCCATTTTAACCATTTCTGTTCTCAACTACCCACTCAGTTATCCTACCAGGACCAAGACCAGGACCATTTTAACACCACTACCCACACCCACCCAGCTGCTATCAGTGTGTTCTTTTGCTTGCTCCATTTTGACATACTCAAGGGTATGATCAAGAAACTGACTCTGTATGAATTGAGCAAGATCTTTGTTGAGCATACACTGCATGTTGCTAGGATACAGTTTCAAACCCAGGCCTTATAGCCGTGCACTCGGCACAAAGGGGTCAGTTATGACCATTGTTTTATAAATAAGTAGATGCCCTCACTCTAAAAAACCAGTTTGATTAGAGAAAACAAGATTGACTAGTCTAGAGGTTCAGGCTGCATTGACTTCAAAGGTGTATTGTGATTCAGGCAGAGCCTCATTTTGTCCTCTTCACTCAAAAAGAGAAGAAGAGGCGTCTGCTGATGACCACAGGGTGCCTACACCATCCCTTGTAATGCTCCCCTGTAACCAATACCCACACTAAACCCATGAGGACTTTATATGACTAGTACCCACTCCCTCCATAATACTAAAATTATTGTTCACTTTCTTTTTTATCCCAGCAGATTGTACGTTTTTACCAATCGCGTCTGCCATTCTGTTAATGATATTTCTAGTGTTTGAGGGATTGTTGTTTGGAATTTTTACGCTTGTTATGTTTTGTACTCAAGTCTCTTCTATCGTCAAAGATGAAACGGTACGTCTGTGAATTTACCTGTATTAGATAGAGGGATGTATTTGGCACGAAATTTCTATTTAATAATACTTAGCCAGAGAAGAAGAGACTTTAAATGCTCGAAGAATTGCGAGTGACATTGTAATTGGTCACAATTTATTCATTTTTTTTCATTATTTTTCTTTTTTATATACGACACGCGCGTGTTACTAATTCAGCGGAATTCGAGATAGGAAACACGCGGCCTGGAGCCCATAACCCGACGGAGTGAGCAACTCTCATACTGTGCAGACGTATTTCTCGGCGTTTTCTTAGACCAGTCTATTTTTAGACACATTTTAGACTACTTTCTCCCTCAAAAATGGAACTTGCACCTCCGTCCTATGCCTTTTGCTGACGGTTGTCTAACTTAAGCGATGGTCTTGATACGCGCTAAAATCAATCTAAAAATAAGCTTGTCTGTGACACGCTATAACACGAATGCATGGAAGTTGTTCGCTCCGGGTTATAGGCTCCTGACACGGCTTAAGTCAACGTAGCCACAAGGCAGACAATGGGAAGGATTGCGTGAAAGCCAAAAGGGCGTCTGCATAGAGGGTAACACCAGCGGTAAGACTGCAAAATTTAAGGGTTTGAAGAAATACAACAATAATAATTTTACGTTTTTTGTTACTTTTCCACAGGGGATAGAGAATTTAAAGAAGGAAAGAGTATCTAGAAAGAACACAGTGTAAGTTTGAATTGCAGAATTGATGGAATGTAAACTGACTGTTTTTGTTTGCAATGTCAACATGCAAATTCCTTTACATTTTTTGACTTGTTTATTTATCCATTGGCACAAGTTACGTGGTCAAAAGTTGACTAATAATTATTTAGACAAATGAACTGTTTTTAAAACAGCTGAATTAGAATTAACCCCAAAAGACACCAATCTGAAAGTGGCGAAGGCTTTATCGAGCTCTGAAGCCGGAAACATGTTATTTTGTTGCACGTTTGTTACCTTGCGAGCAGAAGTTTCTTTCATGCATTGCTTGTACCATTTACGAAGTCATTTGCGTCGCTGTCAGTTTGTTTACGCCCCCGAGAGAAAACAAACCAACTACGCGACAGACAAGCCACACAAACGACTTCGTAAATTAAAGCCATGCAAGAAAGAAACCTCTACTCGCAGAGGCACAAACAGTACAATCAAGTAAGAACTATTCTCTATCTCGAATCCCCCATAATGCAGTGTATTTTCTCCCCAGCAAGAGTCTCTCTTGCCCCCAATTAAATCTCGTCTTCGCCGCCAAATCCAAAGGTCTCTATCATTTAAGAGGGATGAAATTTGGCGCGAGGGAGAAGGCACTTCTCTCTTGCCTAAAATCCCCTTTTCCTTCCCTTTCGAACGCCTGCCACGTAGGCTGAGTAAGGAGACAACTAGGGAGGAGTCAGTCGGATAGGTATTTCCCGTAAGTACCCCTCCCTGCCCCAAGACTCCATACAGTATGTCAGGATTGTTCTTTATATCGGTATTTCTTTACGCAAAGCCCTATACCTATGTGGGCAAAATATTTAGCCTGAATTCCATCCGATTACTTCGAGTCGTTATTACTCCCTCAGTTACTGAGGGAGTGGAGTAATAACGACTCGAAGTAATCGGATGAAATAGAGGCTACAAAATATTGGCTTTCCGTCCTGAACTGAGACTAAAATCTACAATTTACACAGCTAGGGTAAATGACGAGCATCCCCCTCCCCTCCCCTCCCCTCGAACATTTTTGTAAACACTTTCGCACTGGTTTTTCTACACCATTGAAAACCAATTTGTTCAGTAACCTTTCCCCTTAGAATCATTACTTTTTTTGTCGTTTCTTCGCAGGTATGAAAATCTGCAAGATGTATTTGGAGGATATTTTTCTATTTCTTGGTTTTCACCCTTCTCGTCTGGACCTTCGCGGCGCGCAAGCTATGCCTTTCACGAAGTCTAGAAAAACACTGTACTCATTACTTTGTCCACTATGTACGTACTTACTTACTTACTTACTTAGGCTTTTCAATAGCTAATACTTAACAGGGGGCGCATACTCCACTTACTTAAATCCTTGCTCTCCGATCTTTGCCTACTGTTCGGTAGTGGTCAAACAAAAAACTCTTAATCCATTGTCTTCGGGCATAGCCCAGTGAATATACCGTCCCATACTCGGTCGGTTTGTAAGATAACCTTTTTGTCTTAAACGCGAGACAGGTAGTTATCGCGAACTGCGAGAAGGTAGTTATCTAGGGGTTAGGTAGTCTGTCCACAGACTTTTTTCTTTTCTTTTCCTTCCTTTTTTAATTTGATTGTTTTGTTTTTGTTTTTTGTTCTGTATTATTTCGTTTTTTTTCGACAATTCGACAGCAAAGGCGCAAAAGTTTCTCCTTTCTCCTTTATGCCAACCTATCCCATAATTTCACAAACTTGAATTTTCGTGACGTCACACTTTTCTAACAGTCATAAATGCCCCACCTTCATTGGAGAAAGCTCATGTCCTTCTTTTTTTCTTCTCAACGCATAGTGGAAGGAAGGCGACAAATAACCAGTTCGCGCGTTCATCGAATAAAGTAGAAGAGCTGTGAACGTCTACCTTATCTGGGAACGTTGGTGCTGTTATTGTGTGTGAGACAAAAAATTCAATATTTTTCCTCGCTAGACTAGTTTTGCATCGTTAGGTTAGTAAAGCACCTTCAACTGCAACACCAGAGTTTAACGTAATTAGTCATGGCCATAATATTCGTTAAACTAGTCAATAACCAATGGTTACGACAAACAGGCGACAACGATGGAAGGTTAAAACTCTTTTGCTCCAAAGCTGTGCCTGCGTAAGTTTCACTTGACAGATGGTAAAAGCACGCGTGATCAGATTACGAGTGAGAGGGAACGTTTCTAGTGAGAGGGAATCCGGGAATAACACTTAAGGAGCAGCATCCGCATGTTTTTCGGAGGTGATGAGTTGGGTGGGGAAGGGTTAAGATTCCACCTTTCGTACGTAACTCGATAATGCATGGATGAGGACGATGTTATAAAGGTAATTTCTTGTTTAGACCACGGCGCGTCTCGCCTTTCTCGCGTGGGCTGATTTTCACGCGCCCTCGCGTTTCGCTCCCTCTACTATCCCTGAGGAAAAATGGGGACTACTCGTAGTCTATTTCTTGTTAAAAACAAGTATAAAAATCTTCTTGGCCGTAAAAATAAATATTTCTGTGAATGTATCCTGATATAACAGGCGTTAATGACAAGGAAATTAGTTAGCAAATGATGTATGACATTCATCTACATGGTCACGCCTTCTTGTACTGTAAATATATTTAAGTTTAGGTGAATAAAGGACAAAATGTTTGCGGTTTCGCGACTCAATGGCTTGTCTTTTACTCTCATGTCTGTTACTGTACACGGAGTGAAGACTGGTTTGCCCTCAGGTAACACTCCTTGCTTCTTGCGGGCTTCGCGTGGCATTGTAGGACTGTACCATCCCCCCTCCTCCCCGTACCATCCTTCCCAAAATGCCTGGCGGGTGACTTAATTTAATACCGCATTCACACCAAGGATTAAACATGTTTTAAAGCTATTTAGTGAAATACATAAGAGCTGCTTTCTAACACATAATTGTGGCTAAAATCGGCGAAAACACGTGGATCATGGAGATCCGTCCTGCTCGACGGTTTCTTTGTAACTGAGCTCCTCAAAAATTCGCCCCATGACCCTTTGCGGGATGTTGTCCAATCTCCTCTGTTTCTATGATTTATCGAACAGTAAACAAATTACATAATTCCAAAAAGTACATTTAAATTCTCTAGAGCACAAGGATGTTTTTAATGGCCAGCTTAACAGGTGGTTTCGCTGGAGCGCCGAAAACGAAATCCCGTCTTGGCAACCCGGCGAAGCCTGGCAAGAGGGAGCTTTAGCATCGACGACGGCAACGGCAGCGAAAACGTCAGTTTCATGATGAATTCCCGTTTTTTCAATCTTTGTCGCGTTTATTCCAATTTGCTGAAAATGGCAAGTGTAGGCGAATTTCCCAGGAGTTGATTTCTTGAGGACCGCACTCAAGTTTAGAGAGAGAAAAAGAGATTCGTCGTCGCTTGGTTATGTCCTCCATAAAACTTGCAATTAGGCATTTTCGCGTCGTAGTCGTGCAAGGACGGTAAAGAAATGTACAAAAAAGCGTGCTTCTATCTACTTTAATTTTTCATGATAAATAAAGGCGTTGCTAGAGAAAGATTCGTGAAATATACAAGCAAACATGGTGCAAAGCACGCGTTATGAAATCTGGTCCGAATGCATCCCACAACTCAACGCGCGCCGAAGTCGCACAGCAACGAGCCTCGGGAATAAAGCACGCACAACGCGCAATGTGTCAAAAATGTTTCATCTTAAGCATTTAAAAAATATATATTTAACGACATTAACTTTTGTCTGGAAAATATCAAACGAATATGGCTGGGTTGAACATCACAAAATTGCGAAAATTAGGTTTTACGTAATGGCCTGTAGGTATTTTACAAATAAAATTTCAACATGCTATTCATCATTTGTCAGGTAATTACTTTGGCCGGCCCGCACACTTAATCATTCTTAATAAAATTAGCTCTCTCTAAACAAAGATCATAAAAGAGGAAATTAAGTGTGTTTGAAAAGTAATACATGAATACATCCGACATTTAAGCAGTGAAAATCCTCAGGGAGACAATGAACGTGCGGTGAATTTGAATCAGAAGGAGACTGGAAGCACGCGCAAAAATTGACTTTCTCTAAACCTTGCAAAAAATTTTACCCCTCATCTTTGGTGACTGTGTATAAACTATTCGTACCAGTAGGGTAAAAGCGGTTTGGTGGTTTTTTGCTATGACATTGTTTGTCTCTCCAAAATTTCTTGAAATGAATATTTGACTTTCTTCGCACTGTTGTAACTGAGTCGTTTAACTTACATACTTCGGCAAGCCTTCAATTAATGGACATGAAGTGTCAAACTTATTCCTTACAAAATTTATGAACTTTCATTTCATGCTCTACAAATAATTGTCTTTTGGGAAGGGCTGCGTAGACTCAAAAGAATCTGCGTAAATCTTCAATTAAAAAAATCAAGTCTTTCAAACGGAAATTATACCAATTAGGCATGAACATTCACCAAGAAGCCACTCCTTGTAATAAGTACACAAAACTAACGAGAACAAATTTCAAGTTTTATTTTTCATGTTTTCAAAATGTGAACTCGAAACGAAGGGTGTCATATTCAAAATGTAAGCTAGTTAAAAAAAAAACCTCTTCAATGAATAAAGCTTGCCGCAAATTAAAAGTATTTAGAAACCAAGGGATTAATATATGAACTGTACACTGTCTAAAATCTATGAAACTCCTCGATATTGACAAAAATTTCCACCCATTTTAAAATGATTTTAATCAAGTTTGTGTAAACAATTCAGGGCGTGTTATGACGCAGAGAGCACGTTTGTAACATGGTGAATTTATAACAGCGAATAAAGCAACTCGTTCATTATAAGGCAAGTATTAAAAGGCGCAACAATGAACTTAACCGTCTTAGTTCAAAACGCAAGCTTTCCACAGTGTGAAACTACAAACGAAACAGCCGATTCTAAGGCAGGCAAGACAGTGGCATACGCCATTATCATGTTAATGTCACTAATCGGTAATTTTGCCATTGTTTTGGTCATCTACAAAACGCCAAGGCTGCGAACCACAACGAATTTTCTAATAGCCAATATGGCTGTATCCGATTTGCTACTACCACTTTTTGCTATGCCGCGAACGATGACAGCGGTTTATTTTGGCGCCAATCGCTGGATGATAGCGGGAAGCTTTGGTCTGGTCACGTGCAAGCTTGCTGCTCTCTTTCAAGACGTTTCGACCGCGGTGTCGACGCAGAGTTTAGTGCTGATTGCCGCGGACAGATACTATAACGTTTTCTCTCCGGTTAAAGCAGCGGTAATGAGCTTTAAGGCGGTAAAGATTACTATATCATTGGTGTGGTTCAACGCAGTGCTGCTTCACTCGCCTTACTTCTATATCTATAGACTTTACGTACGCGACGGTAAAGCGTACTGCTTGCTAAACTGGTCCCCGCCGTTCCCGGACGACAATCAAGCACAGAAAATCTACTTTGTCCTACTCTACATTTTGCTTTTTATTCTTCCCTTGTGCACGATCGCTTCCCTGTACAGCGCTGTTATCTTGCGCTTAAAAAGACACCAGATCCCAGGACAACACCAAAACGAAAACGCGAGAAAACTTCGCGAAAAGCGTAATAGAGCTGTCCTACAGCTCTCTGTTGTCATAGTAATCGTGTTTGTTCTGTGTTGGACACCCTTTACAACATACGCGTTTCTAAAGTTCTTCAAGTGGAATTCGCCTTTTTGCGGAAGCAAGCACACCGTTTTTATTGTGTACTTCGTAGCTCATTCCATCAGCGCCATCAATCCGTGTGTTTATTTTCTGTTTAGTTCCAGTTATCGTCAAGGCCTCAAAGAAGTATTCAGTTGCTTTTTCTGCGACGTTTCTTCTTCTCGAGTTTTCCCCGTGATCGGTGACGAAGAACTCGAAATGAGGGCACGCGCCAGGACTTTTTCTACTCGCGATTTTCTACACTTATAGACAAGCCAAGAGGTATCTGATACAGGCAAAGAGGATTCCATAAACGACCACCTTTCGCAAAGCGACCACCTGTCATGCCGGCTGGCTCTATTACGAAATCCTACGCTGTTTGCTTACTCAAACAACAGTCAGGAGGGAAGGCAAGATTTTTTCGAAGGAAAGTCTACGCGAGAGGGGGATTCCGATGGGAAATTAAGAACTCTAAAGCAATGAAAGTGGATAAAAGATGATGAAACTTTATTTCTGCAATTAAAAATTGTTACAAGCATATCTCTCAGGAGAGATAATTAACGCGGAAACGGCGCCAATTTCGTTTTTAGATCGACCCCCTTACTTTACTATAAATTGATTTTTATGAGTTAAAATCGAATAAAATGAAAACTCTAAAATGAAAGAGTTTTCTAGCTAGGCAGAATGCCGGAACAAAGCGTAAGTTAATAATAAAGTGGTAAAACTAAAAGACAACACAACTAATTGCTGTAAAAAAAACGCCTCAAAAATTTTCTTCCACCTTTGTACTGTCACTGCAAATTGATATTATATACAACAAATAAAAATGTTTGTCAAGCTGAAAGGAATTACGTTCTGTGTAACCGGCCAAAAATTTTCATCTCCCCTCTAACCCTCCTCGCTAACAAAATGGTTCATGAAAATGTGTAGACACTTAACAACCCTTAAAGTAACCCAAAACAATACTATATTCCCTCCTTTTTTCCATAAGGTGTAAATGAAACCCAAGTTTCCTGGACTATTCGAAAAAAAGCTACTGAACAACACTTGCATATCGAGTTGTTTGCTTGTTGTAGTTGAAAATTGTTGTTGTTGTTGACGTTGTTTAATCCACAGTTTGGACAACCAGCCCCCCACTTCGCAACAACAGTGAACGCAATCGAACATAACGCTGACCTTTTTTACATGGAGGTAAGAAGATCCTAGCACCAGGAAGATCCCACAAGGCGATCATCCTAGCGCCATATGTTTTTCGTGTTCGGTTTACATACAAAGGGTTGTTCTTGTTCCCAGAGCTAAGTTCTTCCTAGTTCTAGGATCTTGGCCTAGCTGAGAGGTAGGAAGATCCTCGTGCTAGGACCATATCGACTGCCTTCGCTAGGAAGGTCTTACGATCTAGTACTACGGGGTTTGTACTACGGACAAACCAGACAAGAATGGCAGTGGGCCGTCTAGTGGCTAATGGCCGACCATTTCGTTTGACGTTACCACGAGCTGATTATTGTGACAACTCTGCTAAAAGGTAGATATTAACGCCAGAAGAGAAAGCAGAAGGGACCAAATTGTACTTTTGCTCTTGTCGCCCGCAATCTTTAATGCTTTAATTCCTTCTCTAACCTAACCACAAAGACAGAAAGTTCTCTGCTTGAAACCCAACGTAAAGTTGTTCAGCCTTCTAGGATCTTCCTGGTACCTCCATGTGAACGGCTCCTTAAAGCAGCCATGTCGCTCTACGTCATTATTTTGCACTGTCCAAAATATTTTGAAACTAACAAAGTAAATCTCGAAATTGCTACTTAGTCTTAAATAGGAAATCTTTGAAGAGTTAAAAATATTGCCTAGTTACAAGGCCTCAAAATTTTCGCGCGGTCAAAGCGTATCGGATTGGTCACGTGATACGCGCAAAAAAAAGTTTCAAGCTTTCCCGGCCTTTCGTGTCGGTTATGTCACTGACATAAATGGACCGTGCGGGCCTTGGGAGAGCCGTGCATAAACCAGGCAATTGACAATATATTAAGGATGGTTTAGGATAAAGAAGATTTACCTAAACTGCGACTAAAAAAACAAAAAAACGCAGAAAACGGCGACCTCGATTCCCTGATATTTGCAGTAACTCAAGAAGTAACTTGATCAAGCAAGTCTTTTGCTGAGCAATCTCAAATTTTGTTCCTCCGTTAAAAAAATGCACACGAATAAAAATAACACACCAAAAAGACAACAGAAAACGTACGTGTTGTTTAAGCAATGTTCTACACTATACTGAAGCTGCCCATAAATGTCTCAGTTAAAGCATCGTCTCTTTCCAGGCGGTCTTTCTTTCTTCCAGGTCATCACTTTGTGCCTAGAGGAACATAAGGTAGCAAGATAGGGACCAGTTAATTGACGTAACTTAATTTTTACCGTAACTGAGTGATTTCTTCTTTTCTATTTCTCTCGCGTGCGATAATCCAAGAAACTTCCACAGAAATGGACGTCAAAACTGTCAATGTTATTGTAAAAAACAAATCGAAACTAATTTTTCATGGCCTGTTTAAAAAAGGGATTCCATGTTGTCGTGCGTCTGTTCAGTGATAGATCACTAATGACGTCAAAATGTGGTTAAAGAAGCTTTAAACGTTTTAAGGATTGTGAGGGACTTACCCTCAGAGCAAGCTGAGCTTTGTACTGTTGCCGAGCCATTTCATCTTGTACCCACTGTGGTACATCCGGGATAACAAGCGCTAACACAAACTTAACTCCAAGTAAAAAGTGCTGCAATGAAACATATACTGAGATTGAATACCTAGCCTACTTATGGCCGTACCCTTCCCACACAAGCTCGATTTCCGCCCCTCTCTGGGGTCCTAAGCGGCAGGTAACTGAGGCTATTCCCTGGGGTACTTATGGCCATACCCTCCCCTACCCCCTCGGGGTCGAGTTTCACCCTTCTCTGGGATCCTCAGCAGCTGGTAATCGAGCCTATTCCCCTCCCCTTTTCTCGAAGTGTCCTTTTAGCAACGACAAGTTAAAAAATTTCGCTGAAACTAACTCTTATATGGAAATGCCACTGTTCGGTTAACCAACCAGAGTACTGATAAGAGAGTGACGTGAGTGAGAATGACCACTTGTTAAATAGCATATCCTTTCGCTTTGCTTTGTGTGTAAATGTCTTAAAGGGGCTGTGTCACGGCAGTCCAGTTCATTTTGTTTAATTTTGCGAATTACTCGCCCTCAATCCCTATGCAACTTGAAATAAGCGAAGAAATTACATGTAAATGACAAAATCTGAGATCCGAGACAAACAAATATGTCTCCTGAGCATTATATTTGAAGTTGCAAACAGCAGGGATCAACTTTGAAAAACTGTTAGCCTGAACAGTTCAATCCATTTCAATCTTCTTCAGTTTTGCCCATCCGTGGCATCTATTGTTTCTGCTATGTTATTTTAACCTTTTTTTAAAGTTTCAAGGGCTTATTTTTATGTTTCTCTTAATTTAACGGGCACTTTGTAATTTCCTAATTTGGCTGAATTTTGGGACACAGCTCCTTGAAGCTATCCCTAAACTTCTTTCGCGCTTTAGCTATAGCAATCGCATAACTTCGTTCCAGTTTGTTTGCTGTGTGGTAAGTTCACAAGTGATCACACGCTTCTCTGCGCTGCAGAGGAAAAAAACAGCCACTTAGGAGGCTGTGACGAGTTCTTACCTCGATGGCTACAAACATCAGAATGGCATTAACAGTTGACATTTCAGGCAGCCAATGAGAGTTCTTAGCTGCCATGCCAATCAGCGCACAGTTTGTGATGACGGCAACAACACCAAGCATTTCAAATGCAGGCTGAAATGATAAACAACATTTGATGGAAACACTTTATTCAGTAACAAACCGTGTAAACAGAAATCAAGGCGAATAGAAAAATATACGAGCAACGCAACGCAGATCAAACAAGGTGTAGCCCTACTGATTAAGTCGTGTTCTGTAATAACAAGCTTGAACATTTTAAAGAAAAAAAAGGAAAGATGGCGGTGAAACATCGTTACCCCTCACGATATCAAGACACTTATACGCCATCATTTTCAAAAATTTCCTTTTCACCTGTCCATACAAGTAAGAGAAATCGGCTTTTCAAAACTTTCCACTCCAGAGAGCGTCATAGAAAAGCTGCATTTTCTATGACCCTATTTCATCGGAGAAGTATGGAGGGTTGACCAATCCGTAGAAAAGTGGAGGGGGCCTAAGTTCTTAAGATAATCTGCCTCCTCTCTTCTTCGTACCGAGGCACTCCTTGAGATTTTCGGCCCAAGCCGCAGCGCAATGGGTTTGCGCTTTTAAAGCTTTCCCATGATCCTTCCCGCTGCACACCAAACATTTACATGACCCCTTGCCCCGGGTCGGACATTATGTCCGGTTTTCAAATCATCATTGACAATTAACAATTTTACAGCTGTACTGTCTTGAGTAATTGAACTTAGCATAACTTTGTAACACGCTCCTTCCTGTAAGTGCGAATCAGATAATCAAACGGAGGAAAAAATTCATTTTAAGTAATGTCCGACAATATAATTTTGTCTTGTCTGACCAAAATTTTGCTTGAGTTGAAAATTTCTCCTCACAAGGAAAAATAATAATTTGCAGCCCTGCAGTGTCTTGTCACTTGACATTAACGGCGTTGTGGTTGACGATGAAATTGATATGCCGGCTAGAAAGGACAGAAATACTCACTTGCCAGGCGCCAATGGAGTTTGCGGGTTCAGCAAACGGTCGCTGGAAGATGCGACACATCTTGAAAGCATCCGTTCGAAGTTCAATAACATTGTTTAATAACGCCCAAAAAGCGGCCATGGGATAGGCAGAGGAAAATAGGAAAGTGTAACCAAATTGAAGGAACAGTTCCAGATAATCAGCAAATGTGCCCTGAGGAAAGAAACTACATAATGTTTCTGAAGCTAAATCAACGTAATTATTAGAGCGAACTTTCAAGTGCCTCGAGAAATATTAGTTCCCTTTGGTTTATCATTAAAGTGGAACAAGTTTTCAAAATTTTTTTAGCGGTGTAATAAAAACTTAATTGGGATATTTTAATGTCCCTTAACTGTGCCTTAGGCGTTTTATTTTGTCGACCCCTTCTTCCGTCGGGAGAATAACATCTCTGAGTGGACAGGGTTGAAGTTTTGCAACGCCCTAAGAGTAGCTGAAAACAAAATCAAATGTAGGGAGAGGGTAGCTATGTCCGTGGCACCCCAACGGTCTCCATGACTACGGGATAGGTGCAAGGTGCAAGGTGCAAGGTGCAAGCGTTTTATACGGCCCAACTCTTTACCATTTTATATACCATATAAACATGAAATCCAACCCTTTTATACACCTGAAGCCTGAAAAAGGTACCCCTTTTGAGCGGAGCCTCCCTTATAGGAAGTAGCCCCCGGGATTATTGGGTATACCCCGCTCAATTGCGCGGCCACTAAGTCAAAGAGGCAGAATTTGGTAAAAATACATGATACAGCTCTTTTAAGCCCGGGGACGAAGTAGACTGAAAAACAGTCGGGTTTTTTTCTCAAAATCAGTAAAGAAATCGGTAAAGCGTGGCGTAAGAGTCTTACGAGCAAAGCGCGCGAGCGCGAGCCTCACACGCCCTGTGAGGCGAGAGAAACGTATTTTTAGCGTCTCTCCCCAGTCTCGCACTCTGTTTTCAGCCTCGTTCCAGACCTCTTGTTTGACTGTTCGCGCGTACTTGAATACGCAAAAATATGGACTGTTTTGCAGTCTAGGGACGAGGTTGCAGTAACAGCTATTTACGATAACCTACCAAGTACTGTTCCTGAGTTGCTTGTCGTTCAACGATGTCAGACAAGTCAGCTGACTTCATTACAATTTTCTTTCCTTCCTTGGTAAACTTGGTAACACGGCTTCTAAACATGACGTAAGGGATCAGAGACTCGGTCACCTGACCAATCAGCTGCGACGTAATCATTAAAGCAGCCAAGTGCTGGAGAAAATAAAAAAACGGTGATTTGTTGAATCAGTTCGGGGTTGAAAGCCGGGAATAAGATGACGTGCAAGAAGAGGGCACTATTTTGCACTAGCACCTAATGGTAAATGCAAAAGAGAACCTCTGCTGATAACCGTTTTAGTTCCTATTGTGAGTACACGAGTTATTTTTCAGCTGAACAGAGATAATCTGTAAAGTTTTGGATCGAAACTACCGGTTTGTTTTAGGTGGCGCTCCACAAGTCAACCAAACGTTTCAGAAATACGAAAATGGATTTATTCTCAAAGCTAAAACAAATCTTCAATCTCGGTAGAACAAATTACTAAAGTAGAATTTCAAATGAGCTGTTTTTTTAAGTGAATACAAGATTGGCCTTGCTTGGAAATAGGATGGCAATATCAGAGGTTTGTTCACAGTTCTTCATCCTCCATTCCCTCTGCCTAATCTCCCCTCACCTCAGTTATCGCAACCAAGAAGCATGGGGTCCATTTTACAAAATTTCATAAGTTCAAACTCTATAATAATACCTACATTTGTAAATTTCACTTGTAAAAGTTATATTAAATAGCCCCCTGTTTCCAATTTATCATGGTCGAAAACAAAAGTATGAATCATGATCCTGTGATAACGACATTAATAGGTCTGTTATAACTTACCCTTTGCAAAAGATCAATGTCTTGTAGATAAAACGCAATGTAAAAAAGCGAGTAGAAACAATTCACAAAATAGAACTAAGATAAAAAAAATATAAAACACAGTTAATGAAACAACTAAGGTGAAGATTTTCTAATGATAATTATTAAACACTGAATCATTTGATAATGCATCCTAGAGCTCTGATTGGCTTAGCCATCATGGTATATGAGTCATTATACCATGCTCTCCAAATATGGTAACTGTACGCGTCTGCTCAAAACTAAAAACAAGCTGAAAATCGGCGAAACGACTTAAGATGTTAGCAGACGGGATGTTACCGAAACACGTAGGCGAAATGACCGGTCACCAATGTTCTCCTTTCCCTGTCCCTTCCGAGCACAAGCCATGCAGGCCAGGGAGCAAATGGGTAAAAGATTTAAACACTGTGACACTGATTCAATGTAAAACAAAAATTGGCGCCAAATGAAAAGGTTGTTTCGGTTGAAGATGTGTCGGTACACCATAACAAAAACGGACATCATGAGAGCAGATTGACCAAGTACCTCGTCAAAAGCACTATAATAACAAATTATGTTGAAAGTGGCTGGTGTAATTTTATGTACTCACAAGAACCAACTTGACAATAAGATGGTTGTTAAAAGCTGACTGCAGCCTGTGATTTTCTGCGAAAAGGGAAAAGAGGGGCTAAATTATGCAAGAACTGAAAGCCGGCTGACTGACTAAACACTGTAGTCTCTTAGTCATTACTGACAATTTAGCCTACATTTGACTTTCCTAGTCAGTCAAACAAGTACAATAATTTATATTTTCGCAGGGATCCATATTAGTGGTTGTCAGGTTGTCCCAGACGACAATAACATTGTTTGCACGAGTATTATCACACAAAAACTTTTGTGAATTTTTGTTATTTGACATTCAAGACACTATTTACCATTAAGCTTTCCACCACTCAGGCACAAAAGCTGAAGCAAATAGTGTTATGCTCTGCAAAGTCTGTCAAGAAGCTTCCAAACTTGACCAAAGTGTTCGCATGAAAAAATGTATTCATAAAGTATTGCACTTCGAGTCAAGTCAATTAAAATACATGAAAAGTCCTCAGAACCCCTGAAGACAAGTACAATTCTCACTGCCAACATTACATAACGTCCTTAAATAAGGATACTATTAAGACACAAATTTGGATCCCTCCATAATTTTTGTCTTGTAGATCACAGGGAGACCATGTAGAAAATAGGAGACCACAGGGATACCAAGCTAAAGGATGAACAGAAGTTTACAACTTACCCCATTCTGTCAGGAAAGTCGCCAGTTGATGATACAGGTTATTCAACACAGCAATTGCAATTGCGTAAACAATACTTGGTAATGAAAGCATGATGCTGGCAAAAATTCCTCCAACATCATTATATCTGGCCTCAACAGCATCGAGGAATTTAAAATTTAAAAGCATAACCACAGTTGCAATCTTCAAGCAGAAGAAGACAATTGGGTAAGACACACAGTAGGTCTTTATCTTTCTTTTCCATGGTGGGTAGTAGTATTCTGTTTGTCCTGTGATAGGGCTGACGCGCTTCTCACCCCAGTAGGCTGGGCGTGGCTCCTCAACTTCCTCTGTGCCTAAATGGAAAATTTAAAATAAAATTTCTTTATTTCCATTGCCTAATTCATGTAAAACAGTGCAGAAAACAATAATATTTTGATGCAAAAAGATTCATTTGCATTTTCTTTTTCCTTGTTTGAACTGAATTTCAATTATTTACTTGCACTGATTTACCTTTTTCTCCACACTGCGTTGCTTGGAAATTATTCTTCTCTTAGATAATGGTAAGCTACTTCAATTTTTTCACGAAATTTTTAAACATGATATGAACATTTCTTTAAACACTCTTTGAATAATCATTATTCTTGAATTTCAAATTCGTATTTGAGGGTGGCTAACCAGTCAACGATGACACACCCTCAGTACATAACAGAACAGCCCAGGTCAAATAGAAAACTACACTTTCCCTCCCAAGGATGTGGCTAAGAGATCGAGAGGGCTGAAAGGAGAGCTTACCACTGGCTCAAATTGCTCCGGAAAACAAATTTGAAGTTAAAGTTGAGTAAAAAATTCTTAGGTTTTCCTTAGCTACACTACTGCACTCCTAGGAATGAGTTATGGAGCAATGACTTGAAATTTAAAGTTTTCCATCTGTGGTTAAATCACAGGTACTACCATTCAAATAAAACCTTTTTCGCAGCCCATTTGCTTGGTGCTTTTTAAATCTAAGGATTTTACAATCTGAATTTCTAACTTTGGCCACCTCTAGGGGTAAAACAGCTCACTTGTAAAGTTCGCTTGTAAATAACCAACTGGTTGCCTCCTGCCAGTTTTTAATTATGTTGTGTTATATTTGAATTAGTTGTTTCTTAGTATTTGAATGGAGTGCCTGCAAACCAGCTGGACAAGCTAAGAGCACTTTTCACTATAAAAAAAGTTGACATCCACTCACCTATGCCTGACTTTAGAGTCCCCCATCTAAAAGAGATCTCAGAGCAGCGACGTTTCCATGCCTCCAAGAAGACAGTGCCCCAGACAAGGTTCAAGATAGCAAACACTGTATTCTTTGTTTGCTCATGTGCTCCAGACAGAGCAAAGACAACAACTAACAAAACTGGTGGAACAAGGCACATGGAGTAAAAACCCAAGAATCCAAAATACATCGCTATGGTCTCTCCAAAGTATTCACGTATGTCATCTGGAGAAGAGAATTATGTCAGAAAGGAACATGTTTAACAAACTGCAGGACATGGATTATAAAAAAGAAAAGACTCAGTGACAATTTCATGGTAGTTTTACAGTGTCATGTTGTATAGTTCATTGGGAAATTAACAGCTATATTGTGAACTGTGCAGTTACCTACAATAGGCAACAAAACTAGATCAGAAACTTTGCCTAATGGACGTCTCTGACATTTTGCCAACTTAAAAGGGGAAAATAACACTTTCCTCCCTAAACCCCTCCATACAATGTTGTGCCACTGTTCACGCTAACTGAAGAAAAAACAAACACCCTATGTTTGAATGGATGGGAGGGGGAGGGGTGTGGACTGTTTTGTTCTCCAAGTTACCCAATTTGAGGATGTCAACAATTTTTCTGCTGATTGTTGGCTGAGGCCCAATCAACTTAAGCATGAACAATCCTTAGAACTTAGATAGGAAAAATCAATACTTTAGAGAGACAGTTCCCTTTTTCTTTTCTTCCTGAAAAAGTTCATTATCTCCCTTTGGAAAAGTTCAAACATGGTACTGCATCTACACATTTCTAAAGTGAAGATGACATGATACAAAGGAGCCTATTGGCAACCACAGAAAGAAGCAATGATGGCAATTCAACGAGAATGCCAAAAAGCAATATTCGTACAGTGACACTGAACAGAGGATGTGAGCATATGATGACAAACTTAACCCTTTAAGCCCCAATATCCACATACAAATTCTCCAAACTGATCTCCGTACATTTCCTTAAAGAATGAGTTGAGAGAATTTGATAAAGGATCAAGGCATTTTTACTTGGGTGATCATTTTATTAATTCTCATAACTTATCTGTTGACAATGTATGGATATTGTTAGGAGAAAATTGATCTTGGTCACTATTGGGGCTTAAAGGGTTAATTCTTTCTCTTTTTTGAGCTCGGATCCTGACCCTAAGAATTCAACTATACCAGGAAAGTTCACCTACATTTGACAAAGTGAAACTGAATAAAAATATTATGTAATGAAGTTTAAAGAGTGCAAATTCATTCCTTTAGTAAAAGGACATGTTTGCACTCCTATCATCATCATTGCTTAAGCTTCCTGATTATCTGGGCCACTCAAAACAAACACGCGCAATAAACTAATCTGATCTCTGAGAAAACATGTGTTAAAGCTACTTACAAACACCACGCACAGGAAATTATTGATTAGAAGTGTGTCACAAGATAGAGTTCAACCCATTTACACTCCACTCTCCATATTGTGGACAGCCTCAGGACAGGACTGCGAAGTCAGCTTACCTAGAGGTTGTTTTCTGGAGAAGCTCAGATACCACTTGTGTTCCAAGGCTTTAAGTTTTTCATGGTCATGGAGAGGAAAGATCTGGGTAACAATTCCCTTGGATATGCACCTTGGAACTGACAGAAAGAAGGAGAATCAATACATGTCTGATTCAAGTGCAATTCTGCATGTCAGTCAACATTCTTTTATGAATCATTTCTAAATTGATGGCTTATCAAAATACATGTACATGTACCAGAAAATGGAAATAATAATTTGTCATTCTTGGCATTGACTTAAATTGGAAATTACATTATTTATTTCATTCATACACTGGTAAGTTCCATTAACCCGTGTAAAGTTCATCAGCTCCGGCTATGATTGCTATGATGTATTTACAAGAGGGTCGTACAGGGGTATTCCCGTGATGCGTGATTGGCTGATTTTATTTTCCATGAAACGTGAATTTAATAAATTATTCTTCGTGATCCATGATCTGAAGGTTTTGCGTGACCCGTGAAGAACTTGAATTATTAACCGATGTTCGTGATTTCACCACTCTATTTGGCGTGATTTTGAGATGCGAGTGCTCCGGAAGAATTATTTTAAGACTGAAAACAGGGTTCTCAATAGAAGGCGGCACCCGGCGATTGATCGCCGCTTACTTTGGGATTTATAGCCGCTTACTTTGTGTTTAAGTCGCTTTTCTTTGCTTTGTTTTGACACCTCTGGCTTTGCTGAAGAGCCTCCTACTTTATCAGTGATCACCTCCTACTTAAAAATCTATTGAGAACCCTGTGAAAATATCAAATGTGACAAGTAACAGACTTCGCTTTAATTGAAGTAATCCATTGTGCAAATTCACGTGCTTTACCGGCCTATCATGGATCAGATGTCTATTCCTATGCCTATGGTCTCCTAGACTACGAGTAGTCCCCCACTTTTCCTCAAGGATAGTAGAGCGAGCGAAACGCGAGAAAAGGCGACACGTGGCGGGGAGAGAGAAAAATGAAGGACTACAGACAAAGCCCAAGCTTTTGAACTAATGCGTTGCTCTCACAACGCAAAACTCTGATTGGCTCTTCCATGGAAATCTGTCAACATCTGTCAAAAACGCGCCTGCTGCTATCAACACTCGACATAATCACAATTTACACTGACAAATAACTAGAGCAGAACAAATAACAGCACAGAACAAATAACTAGTGTTGCTCTTGTAGAAGCAACTAAGCAGAAAACCAACCCGGCTACTGATGAGGTTCGCGTGGAGAACCGAAACCATGATCTTGCCTGATCACAAAGTGGGAATAACAGAACAGTCGCAAGGCTGTTAAGTTAATTCAAAAGTTATCACCAAGGGAGGAACTACGTGCGTCAGTCCAAACACTCACATTATCTCCAGAAAAACAAGCGGCAGTTAAAATTCATGAGCAGTCATGACTGAGTCTCATCGCAGTTCTCCATAGTTAACGTAGTTTTAGTTTAAGCTGCAATCCATTCTTCGAGATTTGGATATCACTATCCGTCCTGCTAAAAATGCTAACGAGCTGGTCCCAGCGTGACAAAACATTGCAGGAAACCATCACATTCATGGCGAAAAAGAAAATCGCTTAAAATTATTCAGATCCAGGAGGCAATTGCCGGAGAAATTAAACAGCCCAAAACCCTTATTTAGCCGCATTGAAGAGCTTTACTTTTCAAAAGAGGTCAAAGAAAATGCTCTTGCATCAGAGGGCAAATCATGCCGACCATAAACAATAACCGCAGAAAATTAATATGCGTGTCACGACCTCTCAGTATGAAATAAGCGGCAAAAATCACATTTGCTCAGTCAAAACGTTTTCCTCCAAAGCATAATCTACCCGTCAGAGAAAAAAAATTCATTGGAACAAACAGCATTTTGGCATGAGTAAAAGTCGTGTGTTGCCTACACTATCAAGTTCTTCACACGAAACAGCCGTGAAGATCGAAAATTAGAATCTGGGTTTTCTTTTGCTTGCAACAAATATCCCGCCGTAGTTTACCGATGACAAGAGCAATGACAGCTCAATAAGGGAAGGAATCCCATTGGATGCGCTTAATTGATTTGGAAGGGGATACGAACTTCACACTCCAAAATCAGTCAGCCGTGAAGGGTCAAAAGCTTGGGCTTTGACTGTAGTCCCTCATTTTTCTCTCTCCCCGCCGCGTGTCGCCTTTTCTCGCGTGGGGTGATTTTCACGCGCGCTCGCGTCTCGCTCCCTCTAAAAATGGGGGACTACTCGTAGTCTAATGGTCTCCTATGTCACTGGAGGTCAAAGGACAGTGATCCAAAACATCGAAACATCCGTGATATGGAGGGGACGAGTACGTATAGTATGGTAGTACAAAGTTAAATTAGAATATTTCAAGACGAGTAAATTTTAAATACTTCAGGTAAAATACAGCTTCAAACACGGGCGATGCTATTTTACTTGAAAAGCAGCCTTTACTTAGCCTTTAACGATTTTGCTTTCTTCAAACACTCTTTCTACCGTAAGAGAAGGTTATTACAACGAGTACCTTACTTGTTTATTTTCGTGATTCGGGAAATGAAATTTTGATAGCCGTGATCCGTGATTCGCTGTTTTTTCTGTTCGTGAACCGTGCGAGAGACCCCCCCTGTACGACCCTCTTACAACCAACTTGAGCCAACGATACACGCAAAAATGGGGGAGTATGTAGTACAATACCAAAATATGGGTGGATGAGGGTTCTCTTTTTTTTTTTGGAAGGGGAGGGGGGGAAAATGTTACAGGTCAAAATTAGATTCAGGTTAAATTTTTTTAACCATTGACATTGCTTTAAAATTATCAATTCTTCAGCAAATGCAGAAACAGTGAGCATTGTGAACAACGTTTATTGGCTAAGTTGTTGAGATAACCATGCCCGTTATTAGAAACGTAATAACTCAGGATGAGGGTGGAGGCACTCGGTTATTTGGCCTAAATTGGTACATACAGTGTACTGCTGAACAGGGTAAGATTTTCAGTGTCTTGTCAGTCTTTAACAGTGTGTACAATTTCACTATTTAGCAACATGAGCAGGGGGTCTTTTTAAACCAGAGGCCTTCAAATGAGTGTGAATGTTGCATTCTGATTGGTTGAGCTACTACTAGGCTACATGTTATAGCCCACTAGTAGTGAAAAGCGCCCGCTTTTTGGCAGAAAAATGGGTTAAAGTCTAGCTTCAACTAGCTGAGGTTGTTTCGTCTCGATATTATTGACCAACTGGTTGGATTTTACTTCAGCCTCATGGGCTATTGACTAAGAGTCACCACTTTGTCTCCTGTAAGTCAGACAATATTGAATACATGTACTTACTAAGGGCCCTGTTTTTATACATCTTTACGTCACTATAACCAGGAACAGTTCCATCTTCATGAGGTTTGATGCTCTCCAGTGCAACATAAATAATACGCTCCTTCTCTCTCACCATCAAAAATTCTTCACCATCATTAACAAAGTCTTTGAATTCCTTGCACTGTTCTAAACAGAAATCCATTATAGCTCCAGATTTAAGGCGCTTTTTGATTTTTAGTTTCTCAGCACCAGCAAGAAGACGCTTGGTGTCTGCAGAAATATGCAGGGTGTCGCAGTTCTTTAAGGCATTTGCAACAAGCTTTGTCTTGAGCCCAGCACCTCCACTGCTAACTAAACAGAAACAACAACCAGCCAAGTTATGGTCAACCTTTTTAAGTTCAAGGAGCAACTAACATCAAATTTCTCCTAACAATGTAAAATACTTAAATAAAATGCTTTGATCTTTAAACAAATTCTCGCAACTAATTCTTTGAGTTCAGGGGTTTCAATAAAGATTGAAGTAGCCAGCAGGTTTGCATAGAGTAACTGACTGTATCAACAAGGGGCCGTTAGTCTCCTTTTTCTAGGGGGGAGGGGGGCTGGGCGTGCTTCCCCACAAAATACTGAAATTTCAAAGCCCTAAAAGGAATTTCCAGCTTTCTGGGGAATAAATTGAGGACAAAAGAGCGTGGTTCTTTTCTTCTTTTCAAGAAAACCTAGCTTTCATTTAATTTTCGATTGTTATGTTACAACATTTCTCTGTACTCTAAACAGGCAAGGAAACAGTCAATCAAAGATTCTGTTAGAATTACATGTAGGACAAATGATAACAAACACACCTGGAGCTTTTATAAGTGCTGTCAGCCATTCTTTAGTTTCAGCAGGAGCTTTAGGTGAGAATTCCAACACTACAAGAGTGTCATCAGAATTCTGAGCTCCAACATTAGATTCCTCCATGACGACATTCCTTTCTTGAGCCTCCCCACTCATGCCTGCAGTTTATCTGAATTCCAAACAAAAAAATGTAGGGAATTACAGAGTGGTTAGCTCACTGAAATAATAGGGAGCTTTAGCAACGACGACGGCGACGGCAACCATGACGTCAAAAAAGCAATAGGTTTATTACGCAAAACAACAACTTTGCACGTGCATCACGCTTTTTTGTACATTTCTTTACCGTCCTTGCACGACTACAACATGAAAATGCCTAATTGCAAGTTTTATAGAGGACGTAAACAAGCGACGACGAATCTCTTTTTCTCTCTCTAAACTTGAGTGCGGTCTTCAAGAAATCAACTCCAGGGAAATTTGCCTACAATTGCCATTTTCAGCAAATTGGAATAAACGCGACAAAGATTGAAAAAACGGGAATTCATTTTAAAACTGACATTTTCGCTGCCGTCGCTGTCGTCGATAATAACTTGGTCTTAATTACAGTGGTATCAAGAAAAAATCTGCATTATAACCACCTTAAGACCGAGAAAACTCCTTTATGTAAATGGATGATTTTGACACCCACTTCTGGTCCCATAGTGATCTCAATTATGCTGTGGTTATTTGTAGGTTGTATCTTTTAAGTCCTGCGAGTAAAATTTGAAAAGTTTGACCAAGTCCATTTAAGTGAAGAAAGGTACCAAATTAAATGTAATACTTATCTTGTTTTGATTAAATTCCTCTCTGGCCATTTATGCACTCAGGAAAATGTACATAATTGTTTCTGACATTGTGATTACACCTCATTTTGTTATAAATATTATGACAAATTACCAGAGTCAGTTGCTTAAAGGACAGTTAATACTTAACCCAGGGGATCATTGCTTATGAATAAAGTGTGCAAGCTGCATGGCATTCTTCATTCTCTCCTTGACTGTTTTAACGGTGAACCACAGCGAGACTTCGAGACTGGAACACTCTTCCAATTTTGTTCCATTCATGTTTTTCTTTTGTGAGCTCCACTTCCTTCGATGACCAAACTCAGTCCAACTCTTTTGTCCAAATGAGTTTGAAAGTCAAATGTTCCATTTTAATTTGTTCTATTCAAATTTCCTTTTAGTGAGATCGATTTCGTTCAATGGCTGAACTGCATTGAACTCTTCTTATTGCTCAAGACAGTTTAATCTAGTTTGATTGAGTTTGAAAACTGAATGTTCATTGAGATACACCAAGTAAAAGCTACATGTTCATAGCCAGAATTGTTGCTGACAAAAATTTAATATCCTTAAAACTGGTTATCATTATTATTTTTTAAAAAATATTAAAAGTTAAAGGTACAGCTGCATGGGAATCATTACATTTCATTGCCTATGTCCTTAGTAGCAGCTGCTTTCTTAATAGTTAACTTTAACCATCCTTTGAATTTTGCAAAGAGCTCTCAGGGCAACACCCACCCAGTTTAACTAAACTTATTTATAAATTTATAAATTCAATAACACGTCAATAATTGTTCTGGGTTAGAATGCAAAGACCTAACGGTATACATACAACAGCTTACAAGCGAAGGAGAGAGTAAGCAAAGGTTGCTCGATTTCCTTCCATTTATCACAACAATAAAGCTTATGCCATACGAAAATACGTTCACAACGATACTGAAATATTTAAAAGAAAGAGCTCCCTCATGAATCAAATATCATTCTGCATAAATAGACCGACCATTAAAGTCATATAGTATTCTACATGTATCATTCAGAGCTATTCAGAGACGAGAATTCCCACTGAAATAAAACGCAATTTCATAAGTCAAAACTGAAACCAAGGCATTCTAGTACGTGCATTCAAATGAAATTAAAAGGCACGGCAGACAAGTTTTGTGGCCTTGTGAGTGATCGAAACGATCAGCTTGGTCAAAACAGCCAAAAGATTTGCACAACTAACTCTGCGCTGCTAGCCGTAGGTATTCGATTTTCAGGCAGAAGACGTTCGTTGAACAACGCAGAGGCTACATCAAGACAAAATAGATCGGCACACACGTCTGTGGGCTACTCGAGCGGCCCAAAATTGAATTACTTCTTTGCCAAAATAAAATTACTCACCTTTGGACAGAAGGAGGCATCGCATAATTATGCATGCTTCGAAAAAGGTCGCAAAGATCCCTACTAGGACCCTGGAGAAAATAAAAAGTTGCCACCGGGGGTGGAGAGAGTATCTTTTGGTCATTGTTTGGTAGTATGCAGAGTTTAGGTAATATATACGGAAGAGTGAGACATGAAAAAATGAATTGCCGCTTCTTAATTTTTCCTGGGGGCTTGGTTAATTTGAGCGACAAATAAAAATGACAGCAGTGCCGAAGTTTCTGCGTTGAAAGCATTCTCGTACAAATGGAAGACCACGTGACTAAAAGAAACGTCAGGCTCTAGCGGGCAACCTCGTCCCTGGGGACGAGGTTATCTGGGGGCACGACAATGCGTTGAAAGCTTCCCGGAGCTTTCTGCGAGAGAAGAAATGTGATGTCAGGTTACCATGGTAGCAATATTTTCTGGATCTCAACAACCTTTCTTAACAGAGACGGCCATTTGTATTGTCTAACGAATCATATGTAAAGGAAAGTCATTCATGTCAATTTTTTCGTTTTTCTGCCATATTTGCAGGACCACAGTTTGTTGAGATACAGAAAATTTTGCTTCCATGACAACGAGACGTAATGACTTCTCTGTATTATGTAGGACGGAGTGACGTCACATAGGAGACCCATGCCAAAATTGCTGCTCACAAGCTGAATTTTTATATTTGAAAGAGAATTTGTTAGGATCAAATGGACTTTGAAAGCTCCGAGAAGGGTTAGCAAACTAAACACAATGTCATCTTTTTATTTGCTGAATCTGTTCTTTCTGGAGTGTCACGTTGCTTACAAGAGGGGGGATCCTTTATGACAAATTCCATCGATAGGGCTTTGACTGGAAAAACTGGGTGTTTTTTTTAGTTGAGTGTTTGATTGGTATGGTTCCATATCCGGTGGAAGGTGCACGTGGTTGCTTACGGAGGAGTAGGAGGTTCGACTGTGTCAACAGCTCAATGTGAGACAACATAATGCTTCAAAAGTATATTTTTCATACAAAACATGTTTCAGATGAGACATAAACCATAAACCATCGTCAGTCATACCATGGTGAGTATGAATCGGAACACTAAATAAGATTTACATGAATGATAGATCGAGTCTTGAGGCAACTTAGCTTTCCAAGCCTATTGTAATATATCCTCGCTTGCTACAGAGAAAATAAAAGCTCTGTGAACAGGCTGCATTTGATCCCCTGGGGGGTACTCCCTATAAAGACGTAAAGGGGTACTTTTTTCACGGCTTCAGGTATGTGAAGGGGTAGGGATTTCACTCGTTGAGGTATATGAAAAAAGGTAGGGAAATCAGTCATTTCGGTCTACAAGGACGCCAAAAAAAGGCTAGCAGATGCCGCGATTTTATGGCTATGAAAAAGTCGAGAAAACTTTCTGGTTTTGCGCTTTATTCTTATTTAAAAGACAGTGCATTTACAGCAGTTAAAAGGGATGCCACGCTCTAAACTACTTATGTGAAAGGGGTACCTTTTGTCAATAGAGGGTATATAAAAAGGGGAACCTTTTCTGCCAAAAATACGTAAAAGGGAAAGGAATTAGACCTCGGGGAGGAGCATCCCCGTATAAAACTTTCTTGAGTTTCCCCCGGGATTTGTTCGCCCGCCCGCCCGCCCTACGTAACTGCTGCGAAGGTTAAGTATAAATAGTCTGGAAGAGTTCGCTTGGATTGTTTCACAAATTGTGACGTGGTTGGCTACAGTAATTTAATTTGGTGTGGTCTTATCAGGAGCAACAGTGTCCCAAAGAAATGGATGTTTGCCAAATAATGAAGAGGCAGGAGGCCAAACAACGTTTGGAACTTTCGGTTTGTGCATATCTTCATTTTTTTTTCAGTTGAACTTTACCACTTCCGTATACCCTCTCCGTTGATTCCACCCACGTGAACTAAAAAGCCACGTGATCTATTGAGACTTCAAGTTTCAAAGTATGTAACGAGAAGAAGTCCACCAAACATTTTCTTGTTGTTGTTGTTGTTTCCGGTTTTTTTGTACGCTGTTGCATACGTTATTGTTCTGTCTGTTTCTTTAGGCTTTTAAATTTGGTCAAAAACGTGTCGGCTGATGGGAAGGCACGCATGTGGGTAACCTGTGCTCTGGTTGTGGTTCAAAGCTCAAAGTACATCTGACTTTAAACAATCCAGGATTCTTTATGAATCTGACGCTTTACAAGAGTAATACTTCTGGCTAGCAATCCGGATACCCAAAAGTCACACATCTCGATACAACTGCGTTTGAATTCTTGGTCATAAAAATTGTCTGCAGGAAGATAGATATTTGGCGATGTGTTTCATTTCTCAGAGGGTAAGATAACGTAGACTTTATTATAAGTATCGGTCCCCTATCTGACTAAGTAGTGCTTTGTCTGCCCCCTTTTAAAAATGGTCAAAAAGTGTGCCCTTTATAATTTATCAAATCTGCATGCACATACATTATCAAGCTAAAAGATGTAAGGCTCCTTATAGCCTCAAATTACTCAGTTTGGTACAGTAAACGATGACTACCAGCAGAGATAATCAAGTCTTTGGAGACAAAAATTATCTCGTGCAAGCAGGGCGCATACGCATAATTTGTCTTCTATAACACGTTTTTTGTTATCAAAACCTCTTACGTACTCAACGACTGTAGTATTAAGTTCATTTTTCACAGACTTTAACACAAACGCGTTTCTTCATGGGAAGAAGCGATTAAAAAGATGGCTCTCAAATACTGAATCAATGAAAATTGCAACAACAACTACCACGTTTCGTATTGCTTAAGTGTGTGTCGATTCTCCAGGCTCGATACAGCTGTCGATAAACCTTAGCTGCTAATATGCCAACGTGGACGATGTGAAGCCGTTACTGTTTGAAGAGACCTCGTGTAAATTTCGTGGGTAACTTACAATTTTGGCAAACTCTGAGTTGTGGGTCCGAAAACTGAAAATAGATCGCATTACTGAAGAAATATTCAGGTAGCTGTTGTTGTTTATGTACGCCGGAGAAATTGAAAACCCGCCATACTATGTTTATGACAGTGCGCTCAATTCAGATGATTGAATGTCCTCTTTTTCTGCGGCGGATAGTCTTCTCTTCTCTAAAATCAATAACGAACCGCAACATCGGTCAAAATTTGTTGCTTAACAAACGGTGCCCATCAACATGATTAAAGGCATTACGTTCAATCATGCGGCATGATACACTCTTTAAAATTTGTTCAACAACTAAGAACTGTAACATTTCATATTGATCAAAAATGTTATGACCAACATTTGGACCAAAGTTACGCATGAAATAAAAACTTCCCTTTTTTAAAAAAGCTTTATAAAATACTACAATTTTTCGTTGACGGTAAATTGCAACAGACCCCTCTACCTTCGTAATTCTCAGCCGGATAAACTTAAGAGTGTTGTGGAAAATGGAAAAACAATGTTTCTCTACAAGATAAAATTGCTTATCGAAGGAAGTCTAAGAAGAACTCTACAGTTCAGGAACTTTTTACAACCACCCGAAGTAAAGGGCAGTTCAGTACTGTACATGCTGTAAGCGAAGATCAATTTTGAGACTTCATTGCGCAGTTCCGGTTTAGTCTATGATAAAATATAAAACAAATTTAAATGGAGCTTTAAAAGTATCACTGTTAAATGTATACTAAGCGTGAAAATTGAAGGCTGGTTTTAAGGCTCATTCAATGATGAACATTGGCGAAAACGCTTACAATGTGATGTGATGACCGCCTGATTGCAACAGGCATTTTCCTAGTACTCCCTTACTATGACAAGTGAATTAAACCAGTGATTCATAGACTTGAAACGTTTCGTCTGACATTGCAGTATACCAAAAAAATAACAAATGACTTAAAAACAGACGAGCTTAGATTTAATAGCGCATCATCTTTTTGTTTTCTAACCCAGTCACTCCTTTATATTTGATTTGTTTTAATTCACGTGACTTCCTTCCCGTGAGAGAATCCTTTTTTCTTCAGTTGTTTGTTTGTTTGTTTGTATTTTTGTGAAAAAAAAACCTTTGCCGTTTAGTAATTGTCAGACAATGCACCTCAGAAATAAATGCAGTTGAATACTGTATCACGAAATTTAGTTGATCTGACCACCGAACTGAGCGGACCCGGAATAAAACAGAACCGGCGCGTATGATCATTGAAGAAAGGTTTAACTTTTACACATGCAGGAAATAGAAAAGACCTAGGAAAATAAAGAAATTTTAAAACGGATTCCAGTTAACGTTTTTGAAAGTTTTCAAAGTTTATTTCCGTTTTTTAATTGCCATGTTTGCAAATTTAATTAAAATGTAATACAGCTATACTTTCGAGGGAACATTTCTTGCATTTTTTGCTGAAAAACAATACCTGGAAGCTTTGCTTCTGGAGATATGCTGAGGCACATGAGATTGTCTATTTACTTCGTCAAAAACGTTTTCTTTCATTTCAAGCAAACCCGACAATACTGATTAACGTCACATGATAAAGTAAAGGTCCGCCAGGACATTTAATAATTGGCTCCACATACGTATATACGTTTAAGACAATTCAACAAAAAGAGCTACTTATGTTATAGCCAAGTTCAACTTTTGGGTCAAAATCAATGGAAAATAAAAAGGAGTCAGACAACTAAGAGAAGCATCTTCGGTCATCTTTCCTCTCGAACTAGAACAAGAAACTCTAGGATAAAAATATCAAGCGATTGTCTCAAAGAGACGACGAAAAATTATAAAATTTTGGACCTTTAAATATAACAGAGACAAAGTTGGCCCAAAATTTGCCCCAATCCATTTTTCGCCAGCTAGTATATTGTCGCAAAAGTCAAGACACCTTCATATTTATAGTTTCTGAAGCCTAAGTAGCAGTAATTGTCCTCAAATTGCGGGTGGCTCCTCCTTTTAAAAATGTTCTACAATTATTGGTAAAGGATTTAATGGCGCCGAAACCAATTGAGAAATTGCACACATTTCAGGCATCCTACTGATGAACAGTTAGGAAAGATAGATACCGTATTTTTTTCGAATAAG